AATCCTTAATATCTATAATAATAAGCTTCCAATCTTGAGGAAGTGCAGAAAGCAAAGGAAGTCCTCTTTGAACAGGGCCAAAAAGATGCATCTGATTGTTAATGGCCCGCAGGTCGTGGAGTAATCTCCACTTCCCAGATTTCTTTTTAATAACAAAAATTGGTGTATTCCATGGGGAGGTAGAAGGCTCTAGATGCCCCAGCCGTTCCTGTTCTTGCACGAATCTTGTGACAGCCTCTAATTTTTCAGAGGATAGAGGCCATTGAGAGACCCATAACGGCTCCTCTGTTTTCCACGGTATGGGTCGTGAAGCCTCAACGGCCCCTAAATAAAACCCAGTCCTTTTCTACCCCGATTTCCATGTTGCGTAATGGGTTTTATTCTGCCTTGTTCTTGCCTACCCAAGCCTCTACCCTTTGTATACCCCATCTTTGCCATAATGGCTGATGCCTGGGGGGGAGTATTCATTAGTTAAGGTCATGCCCATGGTTTGTAACACATCCTGTCCCCATAAATTTACAGGGAGTGGCAACACATAGGGGGTAAAACATCCCTGTTTGCCCTTAGCGTTCCGCCAGGTTAAGGCTGAGGCACTGATGGCAGGAGAGGACTGGTATCCAAGACCTTGTAGAGAATGAGATGAAACAACAGTGGGCCAAGACTTCGGCCACCAATGGAGTGAAATAATGCTTTTGTCTTCTCCCATATCCATTATCCCTTCAAATTCTTTTCCATTAATTAACAATTTTATTGTAGGTCTCTCATTTAGGGGTATAGCCAGATAGGCTGAATCACTTCCAGAAGATCCCATAGCCCTTTTTTGTAAAGTGTAGGTTTCTCGATTCCCGAGGGAGGGCAGCAACACCAGTTGTGCAATTCTATCTCCCTGCTTTATAGAAAATACACCCCGAGGGCTAGAACAGAGAACTTGAATCTCCTCTTTATGATACGGGTCAACAATCCCAGGATATATAATGAGTCCCTGTAAAGTTAAGGAGCCACGGCCCAGAATAAGCCCAATGGTGGCAGGGGGCAAAGGTCCAGGGGAATGGACTGGGACCGGTTGAACATTCATTTGGGGCATGAGTAAGAAGTCGGAGGCGGCACGCAAGTCCATTCCGGGGGTTCCTCGGAAGCCTCTACTTCCTCTTGATTGCTTTTCTGATATCGGTTCCCATATTTCTGAGGGCCCTGGGACCATGGGCCCCGTGACCCGTTTTTTGATTGGGGTACCTTGGGTTCTTCAATAGGGGGCAGAAGCCTCCCTTTCATATCCCGGACTGACCTGCATTCACTAGCCCTATGATAACCTTTACCACAACGACGGCAAAGCTTCAGTTCTCTTGTTCTTTCAGGGGATTGACAATCTTTCTTAAGGTGCCCCATTTTCCCACAATTAAAACAAGCTTTTCAACTAGATAAATCTCTACGCCTGTGCGTTTGTAAAATGGCGGCAGCTAGTCCTGCATTGGTTAGGGGTCCCCACAGCTCCATGCACACTCTGAGCCAATCTTGTAAACCTTTGCTTTTGCGAGGGGCGATAGCCGCTCGACACTCCTGGGTTGCTTGTTCATAGACAAGTTGCTCAATCAGGGGCATAGCTTGTTCTGAATCACCAAAGATGCGACCGGCGGCCTCGGTCATTCTGGCCACAAAGTCTGAAAATGGCTCTTGGGGTCCTTGGACAATCTTTGTAAGGTGTCCACTGGATTCTCCCCTTTTTGTGAGGGCCTTCCATGCTTTAATATCGGTGGCCGATACCTGACCATAGACGCCCCAGATGTAGTTGGTTTGATTAAGGGCATGTTGACCCTGACCTGTCAGCATTTCAAATGTCCACTGCCTCTGATTCTCATCTTCAGCTGTGGCATTAACTCTAGCTTGTGCCTGGGCTGCATCATACCAGAGAGCCTTCCATTCCATGTATTGTCCCATGTTGGGAAGCACTGCTTTCACTGTCGTCTGCCAGTCAGTGGGAGTCATGGCAAAATTAGCAAGCCTTTCCACCTGTATTGTGGTAAAGTTAGCATTGACCCCATAATTACGAACGGATTCGGCCAATTCTTTGATTTGATTGTAATCTACGGGGGTATGTACTCTTCCGCCTTCCGCATTCTCGAATACTGGAAAAGCCATTTGTATTTTTCTCCGTTCCTCTAAAGGTAAAAAGGAGTCAGTACCAGTATTCAGCCGAAGCTCATACGGCGGAGGCGCCGAGGGGCGTGAGCCCGCCGGATTTATAGGCGGTGGCCTCACATTCATTTTTGTTTTCAGTGGCCGGTGTCTATCAGGGTGATATCTTTCTTCCTCATACTGTGCCACCTCCTCCTCTAGACCACCTTCTTCGCTAGAATCCAGAGTGTCAGAATCAGAATTATCTAGCTCTAAGGCTTCTAGCTCTACCGTAGGGTATAGGCTAGATTCTGGCTTTTTCTTTTTCTTAGATTTGTTAGGGGTGAATGATCACTCCTTCTTTCTCTCCCCCTTTCTTAACTTCTTGGGGAGGGCCTTTTTCTTAGACATGTCTTTCCTTTTGCGAGCTCCCATTCTCTCACTCCGTTCAGTTTCTGACATGCTATCCTGAACTTCCTCTAAGGTTCCCTGACTTTCTATTATAGCAGGGTGACAGGCCTCATCCTCCAAGCAGTTTTTAACTAGCTTCCAAATGGCTTTGGTACCTAAGTGGAGATCTCCTTCTGCATGCTTCCTGTCTAGTTCTTTACCTAGCTTGTTCCATGAGGCCACAGTGAGGGACCCGGAACAAGCATACCATGGTGCCACTCTATCTACCTCCTTCACAAAATTTTGAAGTGTTCGTGGTGCAATTTTGAGATCTCTTTGTTTTAGCACAGTCTGTAGGGCAGTAACCACTGACTGTGACAACCCCATCGCGCTAGCGGCTTATCTAAAAAACGGCGCTCAACTCCTTTACCAGACTGACAGCACCATTCTGTCAGCACCAGCCACGATGAAGAAGGACAAACAGGACTAGCACCAAAGCCTCCACTGACCCGTCCCACGGTGATGACAAACTAAGGCCAAAGTCGAGAAAAGGGGTGTTCAGGATCAAGCATACCTCTCTGAACTTACGTCCCTGCAGTTCTGAATCCGCCCCGTCTTCCGAGGGGTCTCCCGCGGCACCGGCGATGTTGAAGAGTTCCCGGGTTTCGGCACCAGATGTCCCGCGCTACCGTCTCGCCAGCAAGAACGACGCAGGACACTCGGATCCTTCTGCAGTAAAGCTTTAATACATCTTGAGAGATAGATGATCAGCTTCTGAGAGGGAGACCCCAAGCTAAGAAACCCAGCCCCTTATATAAGCCTAGGAGCTCCGAGTGAGACGTGTAGAGCCGGGATTGGTGGTTTGCTCATCACCCCAGATGACGGGTGAGGCACAGCTTAAACGGTAAACTCCAACTGACAGCAGATGTCAGCGCCATCTTCTAATGGCAATAGCGATAGCGAGGGCGGCTCCTCACACAACTCTAGAAATTTTGATATTGATTAATCCTTGATGATCATTACCACAGACATCTGAACTAATAGCAACATGACTCCATCAGAGTCCAGCTTTGTAGGTGGCAGTGGCTGCTGTGAACTAATGGTCTAAACTGTGCCCTATTACAATATCGGCGTCCATGCCTACAAAGAATGACAACTGAAATCCGCAAATGTTGTCTTTTGTTCAATATGCCTACTGTATGAGAAGCCATTGCTGAATTGACATCTTCACACTGTTTTTGGTACAGTTCTTACCTAAACCAATTGTATCTCTCAGAGCTGAAAGTCATCATAAGTCACATTTCTCTGTAAACACAGAATGATCCATGTAGGTAGAAAACATCACAGAGGTATGAAGCATACCTGCCATCAAGGAGAAAAATTCTGTAATCCCGAGATTTCTCAAATCAATGCAATTTTCCAGGTAACCTAATCTTCCTGATATAGCTCACCACACTGTCTGTTGTACATTACCCTTTAAAGAAACATCCTGATCTCTTCCAAATACGAACCAAAGGTCAAAAAATTGACACTGTAACCTAAAGTTAATTTCCACACTTTATGTTCAATTACTATTCAATTTCCCGATATCAAAAACAAAATCCTGGTTTATCCTAAATAAACTACAGTTTTGGTGAATTCATATTTATTGACAAAATATACAGGTAGAAAAAAGAAAGATTGAGAACTTGAAATTAAACAATATAGGAAAAACTTGTTGTCATAAAGGCATTTGGACATTGTTAAATAAAAATTAGTAAAATGAAAACAGGTGATTCAAAATGAAAAACTTAATATATTTGTGTATATGGCCATGGATGTATGTGGGTTATGCTATATATGCACGCAGGTATGGAGGTAAGGACAATACTAGGTCAGTACCTCAATCCAGATCCTCGCTCTTTTCTTTGACATAGAATCTGTCATTGCTCTTAGAGCTCAGCAGCCTGTTACAATGTTAGGACAGTTCTGAGACAACAGAGTGTTTGCGTGTGTGTGTATGTGTGTAAGACACCAGCGATTTTTGTCATCATTTCCACAGAATATTGTAGATGTAAGAACAACAGAAGAATTCAGAGGGTTATGTTTACATGTTCATATGTATTTGGATATGTATGTGTGTAACAATAATAATTAAAGAGGAGGTGACAAATTTGAAAGTGGAATGATGAGTGCAGAGTAATAGTATGAGAGATGGTTATGTAGATATAATGTAAATGCAAATCTCTTTTATTGAAATCCCTTATTTTTATAATAAAAGAATATGGCAAACGGACTTAAAATGTAGAGTTTTGCCAGAGGAGGAGAATAAAGAGAATTGGAGTTAAAATGACTAAAATTTATGTGAATGTATAAAATAACATGCATTAAGAAACATTAACTTAAGCCGGGCGTTGGTGGCACACGCCTTTAATCCCAGCACTTGGGAGGCAGAGGCAGGCGGATCTCTGTGAGTTCGAAGCCAGCATGGACTACAGAGTGAGTTCCAGGACAGCCTCCAAAACAATACAGAGAAACCCTGTCTTGAAAAACCGAAAAAAAAAGAAACACTAATTTAATAAGAAGAAAAAGAGTCTCAACAAATCAGTTCAAACACAGAATTCAAATTTTATCAATTTAAAATAAATAAATACCCACGATCCTAAAGGTTCTGAACTTTCCCAGGAGTAAAAAAAGAACAGTACAAATGGAATGTTGTAAGAAAGAAAGTAGTAATACAATATGAACATAAAAGAAAAAACAAGATCTACAATACGACAAGTCAAGTATGGTGAGCATGTCTTCAATGATGCCTTGTCAGATGTTGGGGAGAAGCTTTTCTTCGGTGCTTTAGTCTAAGATGACCCATGAGCAGGCTTGTGAGATCTTAGATCAGGATCTTGAAATAAAAGGCGATATTTTCAGGAATAAATAGAAGTAAACTATAAAACACATGAATGTAAACAAAATGTCAATTTCATATAGCTAGCAAGATCTACATATGTTAGAGAGAGTCCCAAATTCCTAGATAAGTACTTTTAATATTATAATAAATGAAGTATTCACAAATATGTAGACATTATGTAGAGTGGGCCAATAGATCTCCACAAGTTTTATTCTTTTTTGTTTTTGATTTTTGTTTGTTTGTTTGTGCTGGGATTAAAGGCGAGCACCACCACTGACCAGCTATAAGTTTTATTCTTTTGTTATAGGAAATTATTATAAAATTTGTACAGAACCAAGAGAATTCCAATATCAATGAAACTGTGCTGGAAAAAAGAGAGTAATGCAGGAATTTTGAAAACTTACTGCCTTGTGACACTACACAGAAATATACACATACACACACACTCATATAAATAAGTGGTATATTTACACAATGGAGTACTATTCAGCAGAAAAAACAATGGAATCCTGAGATTTGCAGGCAAATGGATGACACTAGAAGAAACCATCCTGAGTGAGGTAACACAGTCACAAAAAGAGAAACATGGCATGTACTCTCTCATATATGTAGGTGTGCCAGCCTACAATACCATGGCCAGAGAGTCTGGGAAACAGAAACTTCATTCATTGGCTGATGTAAGAAGAGGCACACTCCCATGGCTAAGCATTGAGTTGAACTCAAGAAAGCCAGTAACAGAGAGGGAGGACTGATGACCAAAGGGATTAAGACTGGGCCAGTTTAATCCCCAGAAACACTTGACCTGACAAAGGTTAACTCTTGAATCCCAGGCATCAGCCTGGTAATACAGCATGGGACCGATCAAGACCCCCTGAATGTGGGTGTCAGTGAGGAGGCCTAGGTAATCTATTCAGCCTTGGGCAGTAGACCAGTACTCATCCCGAGTATACACACGGACTTTGGACTCCCATCTAACGATGTGAGATGCACTCTCACCCTGAAATCATGGGGAAGGGTCTAGGCCCTGCCATGGATGAAATGACAGACTATGGACACCCCCATGGAGGGCCTCACCCTCCCTGGGGAAATGAGGGGATAATGGGGGGTTGGGGGGAGGACAAGGGAGGAGTGGAGGGAAAGGAAGAGGGACCTGGAAGTGACTTGTGAAGCAACCTTGTTTCTAATCTAAATTTAAACTTAAAAATATATGATAATAAAAAAAGATTCCCAAATGTTGTCACAAAAGAATAATACATTAAATTGGATTTTTCACTTACCCAACATGTATTCTTTATTTTGTGTTATGTTTGTAGTATTGTGTGTTTTCCTGTAAGAGAGGAAGATTATGTATTATTGTAAGAATGAACAATGTTAACAAGACCATGAATAGGCAAGTGAAAAAGTTGGGATAAATGTGAGGAATTGAAAAGAAGATGAGAATCGATGAAATGATTCAATTGCATTGCAATGTCATTTTTAAACTATTCTTAAAAAATAAAACAACTCATACACCAAAATATAGGTATAATTTTAAATTTATACAAAGATCATATATCTTACAATTAATCTATGAAACATTAATGAAAACAGTATCTTCTAAAGTATGCAGGTATAGATTTTTTTGAAAAGTAGATAAAGTTCCTCTGAAGCATGTGTGACTTGGTGATACCATAAACTCTACCATGACACATGACACTGGAGAAAATAAAATTTCTTAAGAATCTAGGCAGTAAGAGAATCAGAGGAGCAGGACTTGTTGCAGATAATTAACGGAAGGAAAATGTCTAGAAAATTGAGGTAGAGAGTTACAGTCATGGGTTTAATGTAAACTTTAGAGAACACTGCAGAGAGTGTATATTCAGGACTTAGAGGGTGGACCCAGATGAGAGCTGAATGCCATCTAGGAGCCTGGAAGGAAAGGTTTCTGTGAAGGGGCTCACATGAGTTGTGGTTCCTGTGATTGGTTGTGTACCATCATATAGGGAATAGGTTTGTGCCAATAAAGAGAGACATCCTAAACATAGTGATGGAAATCCAAGTTCTGCAGTTATTATGGAGATTTCCAGCAGATCTGTTTGTAACCTACAAGAACACAAATGTAATTCATTTTACACAGACTTGGAGGAGAATAGTAACATATAACTTCCATTATATTGTCTTCTGTATATGAACTTAAGTTAAATGTTAAGCAAGAAACTCATAATAACTTTAAAGTAAAACTAAAGTTTAAGGCAGTACACTTTTCAAAATCATCTAAAATTTATGCAGATGTACTTGCACAGCATGATATCTTGAAAAACAAGTAGTATGCTTTCTCTTTGATGGTTCACAAACTCACCAGAGTCAGGGGTTTGATAGTCTCATTATATGGTAAAGATGAACAGGGAATCAAGGCGTACTAGATTTCTGCTCCCCTTATCTCTTTAACCTGACCTTATGTGAAAACTGTTGGGGAAATCTATGTAGGCCACAAGATGCGGTCCTCTCCCTTATCTATAGAAAAGGAATAACTCATAGAGACTCATATTAAAAGGGTGATAAATTCTCTTCACCAGTGGAGGTCTTAGGGTTGAAACCCTCATCATGAATGTTAAAACTACATGGAGGACAATAGTAATTTTACTCAGCACGTGGTACTGCCCAAACTGACATGTACAAATAAGATGAACAGTAGACAATTGTACCTAAGCCTAAAACATGTCTTTAAACGACATGACCTGGTGTAAGTGAAGCACTAATTAATCAAGGAATGTACTTATCTCTAATATCCTGAGCAAATTCCAGAATATAATTAGATATAAAGTTCAATCTAAATATTTTTACGAATAACTCACAATCCAAATAAAATGTGGAAGTTGCTTTTACAATACCAGAAGCTCAGAGAAGATGTCTCCTCCAATGCCAGTTTCACAAGATGCAGAAAGGAAGCATAGTTGTAGTTTTTGAATGCAACTTCATTAAGCATTACTGTCAGACTCTGTAAGAGAAATAAATGATATAAATTAATGAACATAATAGGGATAAATCACAGTTTTCTTAAAGCTATAAACATGTATTTAAAATTACTAATAACATGCATTTATAGTTTAATGTCACAATTTATTGGCTTAAGAAACATTAAACAAAAAAATATAAAAATACAAAAGTCAATAATACTCAAGTCTCTCCTGAAATTAATAGTTTCATATTCAAGCCAGGGAGTGGTGATTTATGCATTTAACCACAGCACATGGAGGGACAATGGAGGAGGGATGAGAGAGAGAGCTGGGATTGAGACTTTGTTAGCTTGACCTAGGCCAAGCAAGTATTGTACATAGAGTTATAAGTTGAGGGATCTAACACCTATTACCTCTGGCCCAGTAGAGACAATTATTAACATTTAATTTCAAAACATAATCTTACTTTTCTTGAAACAAATACGGATGTTTCTGTCAATGACCATCATGGACTTGATAGCAAAGCCACAACTATCCATGAATGTTTACTTCTGTATTCTAGGAATAAACTCTGGTGCTCATAATTAAAATTGTGTTTGTGCCTAAACCAACTTCCCACCCAGGCATATTCTGACCTTGTGAAGCAACCTTGTTTCTTATCTAAATTTAAACTGGAAAATAAAATAAAAAAATAAAAGTAAAAATAAAAATAAAAAAGAAAAAGTTACACATAGGATATATTTCAAGGTCTATATGGTTGAACAATGAATGTAATTCAAAGACCTAAAGACTGACCATTGTATAAAATTAAAATATCATATACATGGATACTCTATGTAATTCTATGTAATTATTCTGCCATATCTCTGAGTGTCACTCCAAAGTTCAATTTATTTTTCTAAAGATTAAAAATCAGGAAAGTGTCTATGTTTTCCTACTGTGAGCCACTATGATTTAAGATGAGCAGCACATAGGAATCTGTGCTACATTCTACATCACATGTGAGCTAAACTTCTCTCCGAGCATTCACATTTACTATATTGCATGTAAGGTTTTTTCAGCAGTTCAAATCCACATGTGAATTATATAAATGTATGAAAATATATGTATTAAGAAAGATGAATCCAAGAAGAAGAAAACAGTCAACATATCAAGTCATACATAGAACTAGAATTTTATCAATTTAAAAGAAAGATATACGAAGGATCCTAAAAGGTTCTGTACTTAACCAAGAGTCAAAAAATAAAGGTACTAGTGGATACCACATCAAAGAATATTTACCAGACATTGCCCTCCGTGCATTGCTATAGAAAAGGAGCAATAGGTTATTCTATGGCAAGAAATATAAAGCATGTCTTGTTGAAAAGAGTATCATATGATTTCTACAGAAATAGTAAGACAAACACAAATATGGTTAGCCAACATGTTAATACATGAAAACTTAATGGAAAAAATAAGGCAATAAAATGTATATAAGCATTTAAAATATTTATCCATTTACCCACAGATCTGTGTAGCACTCCCCCTCAGCAAAGTAGCTTTATTTTCAAGTAGAAGGATACGGCAAAAATAATCCACTGGTCAAAATGCAACAGACCTTGTTATGACCAATAACAATTGATAAACACAAAAAGAAAACACTTGGATAATATTTTGGAAGAGGTGGCAGAAAGGCCATAAGATACACAGGAATACAATGCCTGCTATGAGGAAGCATGATTTATATACGACTCTAAAGGTTCATTGTTTGTATCTTAATTTTTTTTAAAAATGCCAAACTGAATAGGGAAAAACCATCACAGGGTGTATCTGCTAGCTAAAGAGCTACCTGCAGTGATACATGCTAAAATATAGTGTAGCAGATTTATCTAAGATGAGACATTTGACGGGACAGAGGGGAAAAAGAAGGAGCCGTAAACACATCCTCGCATGCTCTATATGAAAAAATATACAAATGCCAAAGAATTCGGGTGTTTTCTTTAATTAAACATAGTAAAATATATGCCACTATAAAAAATTAAAAATATGAATCATGGAATTTTTCCGCAACTCTAGAGATTTTCATGTTGATTAATCCTTGCTGATCATTACCACAGACATCTGAACTAATAGCAACATGACTCCATCAGGGTCCAGCTTTGTAGGTGCCAGTGGCTGCTGTGAACTATTGGTCTAAACTGTGCCCTATTACAATATCAGCGTCCATGCCTACAAAGAATGACAAATGAAATTTTCAAATGATGTCTTTTGTTCAATATGCCTGCTGTATGAGAAGCCATTGCCGAATTGACAGCTTCACACTGTTTTTGGTACAGTTCTTACCTAAACCAATTGTATCTCTCAGAGCTGAAAGTCATCATAAGTCACATTTCTCTGTAAACACAGAAGGATCCATGTAGGTAGAAAACAGTCACAGAGGTATGAAGCATACCTGCCATCAAGGAGAAAAAATCTGTAATCCTGAGATTTCTCAAATCAATGCAATTTTCCAGGTAACCTAATCTTCCTGATATAGCTCACCACACTGTCTGTTGTACATGACCCTTTAAAGAAACATCCTGATCTCTTCCAAATACGAACCAAAGGTCAAAAAATTGACACTGTAACCTAAAGTTAATTTCCACACTTTATGTTCAATTACTATTCAATTTCCCGATATCAAAAACAAAATCCTGGTTCATCCTAAATAAACTACAGTTTTGGTGAATTCATATTTATTGACAAAATATACAGGTAGAAAAAAGAAAGATTGAGAACTTGAAATTAAACAATATAGGAAAAACTTGTTGTCATAAAGGCATTTGGACATTGTTAAATAAAGATTAGTAAAATGAAAACAGGTGACTCAAAATGAAAAACTTAATATATTTGTGTATATGGCCATGGATGTATGTGGGTTATGCTATATATGCACGCAGGTATGGAGGCAAGGACAATACTAGGTCAGTACCTCAATCCAGATCCTCGATCTTTTCTTTGACATAGAATCTCTCATTGCTCTTAGAGCTCAGCAGCCTGTTACAATGTTAGGACAGTTCTGAGACAACAGAGTGTTTTTGTGTGTGTATGTGTGTAAGACACCAGCGATTTTTGTCATCATTTCTACAGAATATTGTAGATGTAAGAACAACAGAAGAATATAGAGGGTTATGTTTACAGGTTCATATGTATTTGGATATGTATGTGTGTAACAATAATAATTAAAGAGGAGGTGACAAATTTGAAAGTGGAATGATGAGTGCAGAGTAATAGTATGAGAGATGGTTATGTAGATATAATGTAAATGCAAATCTCTTTTATTGAAATCCCATATTTTTATAATAAAAGAATATGGCAAACGGACTTAAAATGTAGAGTTTTGCCAGAGGAGGAGAATAAAGAGAATTGGAGTTAAAATGACTAAAATTTATGTGAATGTATAAAATAACATGCATTAAGAAACATTAACTTAAGCCGGGCGTTGGTGGCACACGCCTTTAATCCCAGCACTCGGGAGGCAGAGGCAGGCAGATCTCTGTGAGTTCGAGGCCAGCCTGGACTAGAGTGAGTTCCAGGACAGCTCCAAAACAATACAGAGAAACCCTGTCTTGAAAAACCGAAAAAAAGCTGTGTTCCAGAGCCTGCAGATCGCCTGGGAACTGCACAGAGCTCCCAATCCCGGCGGGAGCATCAGGTAAACAGGCCAGCTTCCCGGCCTGTGTTCCAGAGCCTGCAGCTCACCTGGGAACTGCACAGAGCTCCCAATCCCGGCGGGAGCCAAGCACCCCAGACTCCAGATCTTCTCTCCCACCAACGATTCCAGGAAACTAGAGGAGGCTGGGAGTACAGGGAAGAAGCTGTCCCTCCAGCAGCATCAGGTAAACAGGCCGGCTTCCCGGCCTGTGTTCCAGAGCCTGCAGATCGCCTGGGAACTGCACAGAGCTCCCAATCCCGGTGGGAGCATCAGGTAAACAGGCCAGCTTCCCGGCCTGTGTTCCAGAGCCTGCAGATCGCCTGGGAACTGCACAGAGCTCCCAATCCCAGCGGGAGCCAAGCACCCCAGACTCCAGATCTTCTCTCCCACCAAAGAGACCAGGAAACTACAGGAGCCAGGGAGACCAGGGGAGTAGCTGTTCCAGATCAGGTACAACAGGACCCAGCATAGGGTCCAGAGGACCAGGTAGGAGGCTAAGCGCCCCAGATTCCTGTTCTTCTTCTCTACCCACGGACCAGCCATTTGGACAAGGTATAGAAGAACCACCAGATTACTGGACTTACTAGCACCCACCAAAAGGGAACTCTGGTCCCCAGACCAGGAAGGGGCTCTTTCTGCACCCACTAGAAGAAGAGATGGGAAAGAGACAATACAAAAACACAGTCAGCAACATAAAAACAAATATGACATCGCCAGATTCTAGAGACTCCACACCAGCAAGACCCCAATATTCCAACGCGAAGGAAGCAGAAGAGAACGACCTTAAAAGCACTTTCATGAAAATGATAGAGGCCCTAAAGAGGATATTGGAAAATCCCTCAAAGAAATGGAAGAAAAAACAAACCAAAAAATGCAAGAAATGGAAGAAAAAACAAACCAAAAAATGCAAGAATTTGAAGAAAAAACAAACCAAAAAAGGCACGAAATGGAAGAAGAAATGAAGCAAAAAATGCAAGAAATGGAAGAAAAAGCAAAGCAAAAAATGCAAGAATTAGAAGAAGAAACATACCAAAAAAGGCAGGAAATGGAAGAAGAAACAAAGCAAAAAATGCAAGAAATGGTAGAAAAAACAAAGCAAAAAATGGAGGAAGAAACAAACCAAAAAAGGCAGGAAATGGAAGAAGAAACAAAGCACAAAATCCTAGAAATGGAACATAAAGCAAACCAAAAAAGGCAAGAAATGGAAGAAAGAAAAAACCAAAAGGTTCATAAAAGGCAACAAACGGACAAACAGATAAACAGAAAATTGCAAGAAGCAATGCAAACGCTGCGAGGGTTGAAAATTGAAATAGAGACATTAAAAAAACACAATCTGAAGAAAGGCAGAAAATAGAAAAGCTGGACAAACAGTCAGGCACTACCAATACAAGCATTACCAACAGAATAGAAGAGATGGAAGAGAGAATCTCAAGTGTTGAAGATACACTAGGAGAAATGGATTTATCAACCAAAGAAAACCTTAAATCCAACAAATCCTTAACACAAAACATCCAGGAATTATGGGACACCATGAAAAGACCAAACCTAAGAATAATAGGTATAGAAGAAGGAGAAGAAATCCACCTCAAAGGGGCAGAAGGCATATTCAACAAAATCATAGAAGAAAACTTTCCCAACCTTAAGAAAGACATGCCAATGAAGGTACAAGAAGCCTACAGAACACCAAATAGAGTGGACCACAAAAAAATCCCCTCGCCACAAAATAATCAAGACCCCAAACATACAGAATAAAGAAAGGATATTAAGAGCAGCTAAGGAAAAAGGTCAAGTAACATATAAAGGCAGACCTATCAGAATTACACCTGATTTCTCCATGGAAACTCTGAAAGCAAGAAGGTCCTGGATAGATATTCTACCTACACTAAGAGACCATGGATGCCAGCCCAGACTACTATACCCGGCAAAGCTCTCCATCACTATAGACGGAGAAAACAAGATATTCCATGACAAAACTAGATTCAACCAATATGTGTCCACTAACCCAGCCCTACAGAAAATTTTGGAAGGAAAATTCCAACCCAAGGAAGCTAACTACAACCAGAAAAACATAAGCATTAGAGAATCCCTCTCTACCAACAGCCAAAAGAACAAAGGGGTGAAATTCCACCCATAATTCCACCAACAACAACCATCGCAAATCGAAGAAGGATGAGCAATCAATGGTCATTAATATCCCTCAATATTAACGGCCTTAACTCACCCATAAAAAGACACAGACTAGCAGAATGGATCTTTGACAAAGAAGCTAAAAATATACAATGGAATAAAGAAAGCATCTTCAACAAATGGTGCTGGAATAATTGGAGACTGGCATGTAGAAGAATGCGGATCGATCCATGTTTATCGCCATGCACAAAACTTAAGTCCAAATGGATCAAAGACCTCAACATAAATCCAGCCACGCTGATCCTCTTAGAAGAGAAAGTGGGTGGTACCCTTGAACGAATTGGTACAGGAGACAGCTTCCTGAACATAACACCAGTAGCACAGACAGTGAGATCAACAATTAATAAATGGGACCTACTGAAACTGAGAAGCTTCTGTAAGGCAAAGGACACAGTCAGCAAGACAAAAAGGCAGCCCACAGAATGGGAAAAAATATTCACTAATCCCACATCTGACAGAGGGTTGATCTCAAAAATTTACAAAGAACTCAAGAAGCAAGTCTCCAAAACAGCAAAGGACCCAATTAAGAAGTGGGCTGCAGAACTAAATAGAGAGTTTTCAATAGAGGAGTCTAAAATGGCTGAGAGGCACTTGAGAAAGTGCTCAACATCCTTAGCCATCCGGGAAATGCAAATCAAAGCAACTCTGAGATACCATCTCACTCCTGTCAGAATGGCTAAAATCAAAAACACCAATGACAATTTATGCTGGAGAGGATGCGGTGAAAGGGGGACACTCCTCCATTGCTGGTGGGAGTGCCAACTGGTTCAGCCACTTTGGAAAGCAGTATGGAGATTCCTCAGAAAAATGGGAATAAACCTACCACAAGACCCAGCAACTGCACTCTTAGGCATATATCCAAAAGATGCCCATTCATATAACAAAGATGTCTGTTCCACTATGTTCATAGCAGCTTTATTTGTAATAGCCAGAACTTTGAAGCAACCTAGATGTCCCTCACCCGAAGAGTGGATAGAGAAAATGTGGTACATCTACACAATGGAGTACTATTCAGCAGAAAAAAATAATGGAATCATGAGATTCGCAGGCAAATGGATGACACTAGAAGAAACCATCCTGAGTGAGGTAACCCAGTCACAAAAAGAGAAACATGGCATATACTCTCTCATATATGGATTTTAGTCATAGATCTGGGGAGTGCCAGCCTACAATCCTATGGCCAGAGAGTCTGGGAAACAGTAACTTCATTTACTGGCTGGTTAAGTACTGACCTGAACTCAAGAAAGCCAGTATCAGAGAGGGAGGAGTGATGATCAAAGGGATTAAGACTGGGCTGGTTGAACCCCCAGAAACAGCTGACCAGACAAAGGTTAACTCTTGAATCCCAGGCATCAGCCTGGGAATCCAGCATGGGACTGATGAAGACCCCCCGAATCTGGGTGTCAGTGATGAGGCCTAGGTAATCTATTGAGCCTTGGACAGCAGATCAGTACCCATCCAAGTATACACACGGTCTCTGGACTCCCATAGAACAATTTGAGGTGCACTCTCACCCTGAACTCTTGGGGAAGGGTCTAGGCCCTGCCCTATATGAAATGACAGACTATGGACACCCCCATGGAGGGCCTCACCCTCCCTGGGGGAATGAGGGGATAATGGGGGGGGGATGGGGGGAGGGCATGGGAGGAGGGGAGGGAAAGGGAGAGGGACCTCGTACTGACTTGTGAAGCAACCTTGTTTCTTATCTAAATTTAAAATGGAAAAAAATATTAATAAAAGGAAAAAGAAAAGAAAAAAAACCGAAAAAAAGACACACTAATTTAATAAGAAGAAAAAGAGTCTCAACAAATCAGTTCAAACACAGAATTCGAATTTTATCAATTTAAAATAAATAAATACCCCGGATCCTAAAGGTTCTGAACTGCCCTAGGAGTAAAGAAAGAACAGTACAAATGGAATGTTGTAAGAAAGAAAGTAGTAATACAATATGAACATAAAAGAAAAAACAAGATCTACAAGTCAAGTATGGTGTGCATGTCTTCAATGATGCCTTGTCAGATGTTGGGGAGAAGCTTTTCTTCGGTGCTTTAGTCTAAGATGACCCATGAGCAGGCTTGTGAGATCTTAGATCAGGATCTTGAAATAAAAGGAGATATTTTCAGGAATAAATAGTGATAAACTATAAAACACATGAATGTAAACAAAATGTCAATTTCATATAGCTAGCAAGATCTACATATGTTAGAGAGAGTCCCAAATTCCTAGATAAGTAGTTTTAATATTATAATAAATGAAGTATTCACAATTATGTAGATATTATGTAGAGTGGGCCAATAGATCTCCACAAGTTTTATTTTTTTTTCGTTTTTTTTGTTTGTTTGTGATGGGATTAAATGCAAGCACCACCACTGACCAGCTACAAGTTTTATTCTTTTGTTATAGGAAATTATTATAAAATTTGTACAGAACCAAGAGAATTCCAATATCAATGAAACTGTGCTGGAAAAAAGAGAGTAATGCAGGAATTTTGAAAACTTGCTGCCTTGTGACACTACACAGAAATATACACACACACACACACTCATATAAATAAGTGGTATATTTACACCATGGAGTACTATTCAGCAGAAAAAAACAATGGAATCCTGAGATTTGCAGGCAAATGGATGACACTAGAAGAAACCATCCTGAGTGAGGTAACACAGTCACAAAAAGAGAAACATGGCATGTACTCTCTCATATATGGATTTTAGACGTAGATCTGGGGCGAGCCTGCCTACAATACCATGGCCAGAGAGTCCGGGAAACAGAAACTTCATTCATTGGCTGATGTAATAAGAGGCACACTCCCATGGCTAAGCATTGAGTTGAACTCAAGAAAGCCAGTAACAGAGAGGGAGGACTGATGACCAAAGTGATTAAAACTGGGCCAGTTTAACCCCCAGAAACACCTGACCTGACAAAGGCTAACTCTTGAATCCCAGGCATCAGCCTGGTAATACAGCATGGGACCGATCAAGACCCCCTGAATGTGGGTGTCAGTGAGGAGACCTAGGTAATCTATTGAGCCTTGGGCAGTAGACCAGTACTCATCCCGAGTATACACACGGATTTTGGACTCCCATCCAACGATGTGAGATGCACTCTCACCCTGAAATCTTGGGGAAGGGTCTAGGCCCTGCCATGGATGAAATGACAGACTATGGACACCCCCATGGAGGGCCTCACCCTCCCTGGGGAAATGAGGGGATAATGGGGGGTTGGGGGGAGGACAAGGGAGGAGGGGAGGGAAAGGAAGAGAGACCTGGAGGTGACTTGTGAAGCAATCTTGTTTCTAATCTAAATTTAAACTTAAAAATAAATGATAATAAAAAAGTTTCTCAAATGTTGTCACAAAGGAATAATACATTAAATTGGATTTTTCACTTACCCAACATGTATTCTTTATTTTGTATTATGTTTGCAGTATTGTCTGGTTTCCTGTAAGAGAGGAAGATTATGTATTATTGTAAGAACGAACAATGTTAACAAGACCATGAATAGGCAAGTGAAAAAGTTGGGATAAATGTGAGGAATTGAAAAGAAGATGAGAATCGATGAAATGATTCAATTGCAATGCAATCTCATTTTAAACTATTCTTAAAAATAAAACAACTCATACACCAAAATATAGGTATAATTTTAAATTTATACAAAGATCATATATCTTACAATTAATCTATGAAGCATTAATAAAAACAGTATCTTCTAAAGTATGCAGGTATAGATTTTATTGAAAAGTATATAAAGTTCCTCTGATGCATGTGTGACTTGGTGATACCATAAACTCTACCATGACACATGACACTGGAGAAAATAAAATTTCTTAAGAATCTAGGCAGTAAGAGAATCAGAGGAGCAGGACTTGTTGCAGATAATTAACGGAAGGAAAATGTCTAGAAAATTGAGGTAGAGAGTTACAGTCATGGGTTTAATGTAAACTTTAGAGAACACTGCAGAGAGTGTATATTCAGGAATTAGAGGCTGCACCCAGCTGAGAGCTGAACACCATCTAGGAGCCTGGAAGGAAAGGTCTGTGTGAAGGGACTCACATGAGTTGTGGTTCCTGTGATTGGTTGTGTACCATCATATAGGGAATAGGTTTGTGCCAATAAAGAGAGACATCCTAAACATAGTGATGGAAATCCAAGTTCTGCAGTTATTATGGAGATTTCCAGCAGATCTGTTTGTAACCTACAAGAACACAAATGTAATTCATTTTACACAGTCTTGGAGGAGAATAGTAACATATAACTTCCATTATATTGTCTTCTGTATATGAACTTAAGTTAAATTTTAAGCAAGAAACTCAAAATAACTTTAAAGTAAAACTAAAGTTTAAGGCAGTACACTTTTCAAAATCATCTAAAATTTATGCAGATGTACTTGCACAGCATGATATCTCAAAACACAAGTTGTATGCTTTCTCTTTGATGGTTCACAAACTCACCAGAGTCAGGGGTTTGATAGTCTCATTATATGGTAAAGATGAACAGGGAATCAAGAAATACTAGATTTCTGCTCCTCTTATCTCCATAACCTGACCTTATGTGAAAACTATTGGGGAAAATCTATGTAGGCCAGAAGATGCAGTCCTCTCCCTTATCTATAGAAAAGGAATAACTCATAGAGACTCATATTAAAAGGGTGATTAATTCTCTTCACCAGTGGATGTCTTAGGGTTGAAACCCTCATCAAGAATGTTGAAACTATATGGAGGAAAATAGTAATTTTACTCAACACATGGTACTGCCCAAACTGACATGTACAAATAAGATGAACAGTAGACAATTGTATCTAAGCCTAAAACATGTCTTTAAAAGACATGACCTAGTGTAATTAAAGCACTCATTAATCAAAGAATGTACTTATGTCTAATATCCTGAGCAAATTCCAGAATATAATTAGATATAAAGTTCAATCTAAATATTTTTATGAAGAACTCACAATCCAAATAAAATGTGGATGTTGGTTTTACAATACCAGAAGCTCAGGGAAGATGTCTCCTCCAATGCCAGTTTCACAAGATGCAGAAAGGAAGCATAGTTGTAGTTTTTGAATGCAACTTCATTAAGCATTACTGTCAGACTCTGTAAGAGAAATAAATGATATAAATTAATGAACATAATAGGGATAAATCACAGATTTCTTAAAGCTATAAACATTTATTTAAAATTACTAATAACATCCATTTATAGTTTAATGTCACAATTTATTGGCTTAAAAAACATTAAACAAATAAAAAATATAAAAATAAAAAAGTCAATAATACTCAAAACTCTCCTGAAATTAATAGTTTCCTATTCAAGGCAGGGAGTGGTGATTTATGCATTTAACCACAGCACATAATTAAGCAGAGTCTGATACATGTGAGTACAAGACCAGCCTAGTACACAAGAGATAGTAATATGACAGGCTCCAAAGCAACACACAGATACCCTGTCTCAGTAAAAACATAGTATCCCATCCATAATGAAAATATATTAAAGTTTTCTTTATCCCACATGGATGGGGTGCTGGGTGGCTGGTGGAATGTCAAGGGAGGAGGGGTAGGAAAGGGAGCTGCGATTGACATGTGAAGAATTCATGTTTCTTATATAAATAAAAACTTTACAAATAATAACCAGCTGTGCAACTCCATATCCAAAAGCTATATAATACTACTTTAGGGCTGCCTCCTTTTACATGTGTTTGAAGAAAACTAAGGGATTGAGTATAATTTCTAAAAACAAAAGCCCTGAGTAAAACTGACAGTCCATTCTCCATAAATCCATAAAATGCCAGTAGCTACAAAAATATGAGTGAGGTATCATGAGATCCTCCAATAGATTTGCTGAGACTTTTGTTAGCTTGACCTGGGTTGAGCAAGTTTTGTACATAGAGTTATAACAAGGGATTCTGCTATCGTGTTCAACAAATATAAATTGAATCGAATATCTACTACCTTTGGCCCATTTGAGACAACAATTCTCACTAAAATTCACAAAATGAAGTTACTTTGCTTGCAACCAATATGGATGCTTCTGTCAATGATCATCATGGACTTGAATAGCAAACATGCAATTATCCGTGATTGTTTACTTCTGTATACTAGGAATAAACTCTGGTGCTCATAATTAAAATAGTGTATCTGCAGATACAAAGATGGCAAACATTCCCTGCAGAGATGGCAGGGAATCAAGACGTGCTAGATGTCTGTTGCCCTTATCTCCATAACCTGGCTTTATGTGAAAACTATTGGGGGAATCTTTGTAGGTCAGAAGATGCGGTCCTCCCCTTATCTATAGAAAAGGAATAACTCCTAGAGACTCATATTAAAAGGGTGATTAATTCTATTCACCAGTGGAGGATCTTAGGGTTGAAACCCTCATCATGAAGGTCAAAACTACATGGAGGACAATTAGGAGTTTTACTCAGCATGTGGTACTGCCCAAACTGACATGTACATATAAGATGAACAGAAGACAATTGAACCTAAGCCTACAACATGTCTTTAAAAGACATGACCTGGTGTAAGTGAAGCACTAATTAATCAAGGAATGTACTTATCTCTAATATCTTCAGCAAATTCCAGAATATAATTAGATATTAAATTCAAGCTAAATATTTACATGAGTAATCCACAATACAAATGAAATGTGGAAGCAGTTGATTTTACAATACCATAAGCTCAGGGAAGATGTCTCAGGATCAGAAAGGAAGCATGGTTGTAGGTTTTGAATGCAACTTCATTAAACAGCACTGACAGACTCTGTAACACAAATAAATGATATAACTTAATGAACATCATAGGGATAAATATCAGTTTTCTTAAAGCTATAAACATGTACTTAAGATTACTAATAACTTGAACTTATAGTTTTAATGTCACAATTTGTTGACTTAAATGTACAATAAACAAAAAATATAAAAATAAAAAAGTCAATAATACTGAAAGCTCTTCAGAGATTAATAGTTTCCTATAGAAGCCATGGAGTGGTGATTTATGTGTGTAACACAAATACATAATAGGCAGAGGCTGATATCTGTGAGTTCAAGACCAGCCTGGTATGCAAGAGTTGGTAATAGGACAGGCTCCAAAGCAACACATGGAAACCCTTTCTCAGTAAAAAAAAAAAGTATCCCATCCATAATGAAGATATATCTATTTTTTCTTTACCCCACTTGGGGGTGTGCTGGGTGTCTGATGGAGGGACAATGGAGGAGGGATGGGAGAGAGAGCTGGGATTGAGACTGTTGTTAGCTTGACCTAGGCCAAGCAAGTCTTGTACATAGAGTTATAAGTTGAGGGATCTAACACCTATTACCTCTGGCCCAGTAGAGACAATAATTAACATTTAAATTCAAAACATAATCTTACTTTTCTTGAAACAAATACGGATGTTTCTGTCAATGACCATCATGGGCTTGAATAGCAAAGCCACAACTATCCATGAATGTTTACTTCTGTATTCTAGGAATAAACTCTGGTGCTCATAATTAAAATTGTGTTTGTGCCTAAACCAACTTCCCACCCAGGCATATTCTGACCTTGTGAAGCAACCTTGTTTCTTATCTAAATTTAAACTGGAAAATAAAATAAAAAAATAAAAATAAAAATAAAAAAGAAAGGTTTACACATAGGATATATTTCAAGGTCTATATGGTTGAACAATGAATGTAATTCAAAGACCTAAAGACTGACCATTGTATAAAATTAAAATATCATATACATGGATACTCTATGTAATTCTATGTAACTATTCTGCCATATCTCTGAGTGTCACTTCAATGTTCAATTTATTTTTCTAAAGTATTAAAAATCAGGATAGTGTCTATGTTTTCCTACTGTGAGCCACTATGATTTAAGATGAGCAGCACATAGGAATCTGTGCTACATTCTACATCACATGTGAGCCAAACTTCTCTCCGAGCATTCACATTTACTATATTGCATGTAAGGTTTTTTTTCAGACTCTTATATTATTAATGTGATAAAGAGAATGTGGTATGTGGTTCAAATTATATTGGTGCTAATCCTTACAATAGTGCAATCTTATTTCACCAACTACTGGTAAAATTACTTCAGACCTTAAGTGAAATTCATGATTGTCTTACCTTCCCCAAGCATCATCATTTCCTAAATCTTAGTCCTTACTCAATTATCAGACTCCTAGCAATTCAAATCCACATGTGAATTATATAAATGTATGAAAATATATGTATTAAGAAAGATGAATCCAAGAAGAAGAAAACAGTCAACATATCAAGTCATACATAGAACTAGAATTTTATCAATTTAAAAGAAAGATATATGAAGGATCCTAAAAGGTTCTGTACTTAACCAAGAGTCAAAAAGTAAAGGTACTAGTGGATACCACATCAAAGAATATTTGCCAGACATTGCCCTCGGTGCATTGTTAAAGTAAAGGAGCAATAGGTTATTCTATGGAAAGAAATATAAAGCATGTCTTGTTGAAAAGAATATCATATGATTTCTTCAGAAATAGTAAGACAAACACAAATATGGTTAGCCAACATGTTAATACGTGAAAACATAATGGAATGTTGCATGAAAAAAATTAATCCTATGAAACAAAAGTTACAAAAAAGCAAGACTTATACTAACACAAGTTAGGTATGGTGAGCACGTCTTCAACGAAGCCTTCTCAGCGGTTGGGGAGAAGCATTTCATCTGTGCTTTAGTCTGAGGTTACCATGAGCAGGTTTGTAACACCTACATCAGTATCCTTAAATAATAGCGGAAATTTCTAGGAATAAGTAGTGAGAAACTGTAAAACATATTAATGTAATCAAAATATCAATTTTATACAGTTAGAGTCTCAAATTCTTACATAAGTAGATTTAATATTATTATAAATTCAGTATTCATAAGTAATATATGGATTATGTAGAGAGGGCCAATGAATCTCCATGTGTTTTACTGTTTTGTCATAATTATTATAAAATTTGTACAGAAACAAAAAACATTAAATGTCATTGACATTATGCAGAAAGAAAAAAGCAAGACAGGAGCATTTCACACCCAATTCCTGTTTTCAAAACTTATTGCACACAAACACACACACATTCTTATGAATACAAAGACAAATGAGGTGAATGAATCATTCAAAAGAAAAAAATAAATCACTAAATATATCACACACTAATAATCATTACTCTCCTTAAAATGCCAAGTGATATACGATGTCAAATTTTTTTTTCAATAATTGTCATAAACGGATGGAAGGAGACTCTGACTGCCAAACTAAACACAAGGCAATGGAGTAGACTTATATAATGGTCAAGGGGAAAGTCATGCCAAACACTGTAAATCTGGCCACCTATCCACAGAAACTGAGATAACAGGTATTCGAAGAGTACCTACTGACAGAAGTTTTTAAGACAGTAAAATTTCTATGTGCGTTTAAAATATTTATCCTTTTACCCACATATAGTGTAGCCCTCACCCTCAACAAAGTAGCTTCATTTTCCAGTAGAAGGATACCACAACCATAATCCACTGGTCAAAATACAACTGACATTGCTATGACCAATAACAATTGATGAATTAAAAAAAACTCACTCAACACTGCACACTTGGGATATATTGTGGAAGGGTTGAAAGAAAGACCATAAGATGAAGAGGAATATTATTCCTCCATCCACTCCTATATCCACTCTGATCTGCAGGGAGCATGAGGCCCTCCATGGTGGATCTCCAGTGACTGTCTTTTCATCCAGGGCAGGGCTTAGGCCCTCCCCATATACTCCTATATGAGAGATCATCCCTCATTGAGGCATGGACACTCAAAATCTATTTGTACACCCGGGATTATTACTACCCAAGACACCATAGATTACCTAGGCATCCTCACTGCCACCCACCTTCATGAATTCTGGGTCAGCCCCATGCTCTCCACACAGCCATCAATCTGGGGTCCAAGAAGTCCCTCTTGTTCAGGTCAACTGTTTCTGTGCATTAAACAAGCCCAGTATTAGCTATTTGCCCATCAGTTCTCCCTTTCTGACACTGGATTCCAGGAGTTCAATTCATTGTTTTTCTGTGGGTATCAGCCTCTGCTTTCATTGGTCACTGGAAATACAAAACACATAATAAGGAGATTTAGAAAGTAAGATTTTGGCAGAAGAATAGAATTTGGTGAATCATTGGGATGAAAATGACTAAAATTCACTGTGCAAATGTATGAAAACATGATATTTGTGAAGAAAGATTAATCTAAGGTCAAAAAACTCAGGTCATACATGCAAATGGAATTTCATTAATGTAAATGGAAGGCAATGCTGAGAATCCTAAAAAGATCAATAATTTTCCAATTGCAAAAAGTAACACATCTGGCCTGGGGAGATGGCTCAGAATGCTGGAACACAGTAGGTTTCTGTATTATATGTGTTCCTTAAATCTTAGTACTACCACTCTCTGTCATATTCCTCTGTGACAAGTGTGATAGAATGTATGTTTGTGTGTCTGGTTGCCTCTTGAGTGGTAAAATCCATACAATACTCTTTGTGATATATGGGTTAATAATCAAAATAAAACTCTCCAATAGAAAGTATGACATTATTATGTATGGAAGTAGCACATGTGCAGATCTTTAAAAGACATGACTTCTGAATACAAACAACATTTTTGCTGTTTTTTAAAGACCTAACCTGGTGTAAGTGAAGCACTCAGTAATCAAGGAATGTACTTATCTCTAATATCTTCAGCAAATTCCAGAATATAATTAGATATAAAGTTCAATCTAAATATTTACATGAGAAATCCACAATCCAAATGAAATGTGGAAGCAGTTGGTTTTACATTACCATAAGCTCAGGGAAGAGGTCTCCTACAATATCAGCTTCTCAAGATGCAGAAAGGAAGCATGGTGGTAGTTTTTGAATGCAACTACATTAAACAGCACTGTCAGACTCTGTATCAGAAAAAAATGATATAAATTAATGAACATCATAGGGTTAAATGTAAGTTTTCTTAAAGCTATAAACATATATTTAAGATTATTAATAACATGCATTTATAGTTTTAATGTCACAATTTAGTGACTTTAAGAAGACAATAAATAAATAAAAAATATAAAAATAAAAAAGTCAATAATTGCCAAAGCTCTTCAGAGATTAATAGTTTCCTATTCAAGCCAGGGAGTGGTGATTTATGCGTTTAACATCATCACATAATAAGAAGAGGCTGATATCTGTTTGTTCAAGACCAGCCTGGTATACAAGAGCTAGTAATAGGACAGGCTCCAAAGCAACACACAGAAAACCTGTCTCAATAAAAAAATAGTGTCCCATCCATAGTGAAGATATATTAATATTTTCTTTACAGTAAAACAATTTAAATATCTTAAGGACCTGCCATGAGATAGCAAACTTTTAAAAATATGCAGTTAGAAAAGTTAAGATGGAGATCTTTAACTTTCTCTCATATTTCAAATCATAGAACCATTAGTTGTCATGGAGTCATTTGGTTATGATTAAATATAGATTACTGAAATAAAACCTGATGTACCAAAATCAGCACTTAAAGACATTTATGTACATGGTCATAGGAGTGTGAGGAATCTGGAATATGTACTCAGGATTACGTAGGCAAAGTGAACATCAAATCCCTTTTTCTATCTAATTTCAGCTTATTTTCAGGGACACAGTCTGTCATTTAACCTATAGCTTAGCAGCCTGTTTAAAGGGAAGACCAATACTGAGATAACTATAGGGAAAGATGAACAGGGACTACTTAAAGCCCTGGTACTTGTGGATTGGCTTACAGAGGCGAGGAAGAATATTGGACAGCCGTTAAGGATGAGAGGTATTCAATTTTACTATCTGGCCTAATAATGTAAACCAGCAAGGGTCACATGACTAGTGTGTCCATGGAAATAGAGGCCTATATATATCACCACTTTCATAAAACATTATAATATGTAATGCATTATCAATATTCACAAAATATTTCAGAGTTAGGAACATCAAATGGATAATCCAAGTCATATATTCATAAAAAATACATCAGTATCATTAGGTGTACATACATAACAAAAACAGTTCATGAGGCGGTAATGGACTTCAGAGTTGACTGATGAGTGCACAGTAAGAGTTTCAGAGTTCCAAAAACAAGAAAAGACTCAAAAAATCAGGTCATGCATACCACTGTAATTTTATGAATTTAAATGTAAAGGAATATATAGATTCATAAAAGGTTCATTATAATTTCAAACATTAGAAAAAGAAAAGTTTTAAGTGGATGCCACTTCACTGATAATTTTCTGGATAATGTCCTCAGAGCATTTACAGGAGAAAATGAGCAATAGGTGTTCCAAAGACAAGAAGCATAAACTATATCTAGTTGCAAAGTACAGCATATGTGTCTTCCAAAGAAATACTAAGACATACACGAAAGAAAAATATTTGAAAATATGGCAAAAACATGCTAACACAAGAAACATAAAATGTAATAGAATTTTATAGAATAGAAATTAATCATTGCAATAAAATAGAAAATACAAGATTTATAATACCACCAACTACTTGTGGACACTGTATCTTCAATGAAAGCTTCTCAGAATTTGGGGAGATGCAGTTCTCTGTGATTGACTCTGAGATTATCATAAGCAGGCTTCTGAGACATTACAGGATCTGGAAATAAAAGGGGAAATGTTTAGGAAGAAATACTAAACATGTGTTAATCAGGTAAAATTAATTAGAAGATCTACATAATATTTAGAAATTCCCCAAATCCTAGACAAATAGTTTCAATATTATTGTGAATGCAGCATTCACAAGCAATGTGGAGATTAACTGCAGTGGGCATACATAACTCCGTATGTGTTACTCATTTCTCATAATAACCAAAAGCATTATAAATTTGTACATAACCACTAGAAATCCTGTTTTCTTGAATTTGTTGTGAAAATAAGATCATTGTAGGAGCATTCTATTCACTTCATATTTTCAATATTTACTTCAATTTGACACTTAACACACACAGACACAAACACACTCATTGTTGTTAGTACAAAATTATTTGAGATGAGCTAAGCATTCAAAAAAATTCATTTGCTATTAATCATCTAAATTGTCATAAATTTCCCAAAGACATAAAAGGTAATGTTTTCTCAATAGTTCTGTAATGCATGAAGAACACTCTAAGCCTTACATAACACATACAGTTCAATAATATAACACATATGTTTTATGAATTGTGTGTGTGCTTGTGTTTGTATGTGATTGCAAGAGCAACAAGATAGAAACCATAAATTAAAAGTAACCAAAGAGTATTATATGAGAGACTGGTAATGAAGATAGAAAACCGACAAATGATGAAATTATATTGTAATAGCAGTTAAATAAATATAGTGAGAAAAACAAAAGTATTACACCTCAAGGGTATACTTTTTAATTATACAAATATCTTATATCCTAAAATTCATCTCTGAAACATTAATAAAAAACAACACTTGCTAAGATGTTCAGCAAAAACTGTTACTGAGAAGGAGATAAAGCTCCCCTATGCACCCATCTGATGGATGGGCTACACTGCTGGGTTTCCAAGGCCTCCTAATCTGCCACATTATAAATAGAAATGAAAATTTCCTAAGGATCCGTGAAGTAGGAGAAGAATAACGCAGACCTGGTTTCAAGCCATGAACTGAAGAATGTACTTCTTAAAATATGGAATACAGGGAAGCCAGCTGGATATTCATGTGGACTTTAGAAAACTGAGTGTCCATGGCAATGCTCAAAAGACAAAAATCTTTCTTTCATATCAGGAAAAGAAAGAATACTGGAGAGAATATAATTCATCCAGAAGTATTTGCCCCATCTCTAATTTCCTTTAGCTTCTGACTTCTGAGGAATTCACAGGTGATGGAAAAATATCCTAAATGGCTACATGAACCTGTCAATCAGAGAATAATGGGGTTTGTACAACAGATTATGCATTCTGTACCTCAAGAAAATGCTTATATATCTCATCATCAGGGTCTTCACAGCACTAAGACTGATCCTGTCTGGCCCCCAATGTGTCACAGAAACATAAGTCCTTCCGCAAGAGACTCTCATTTTCTTATTTACAACTTGTTCATGACATCAGAATTTTCTATGTAGAATTATTTTTGATTACTGTGTCTTACACATCTGACCCTAAATACGACTTATGAATAATTGCTGCCAAATAGATTTTAATTAATTTTAATCACTCCTCCATCTAAACAATTGGATTCCAGGAGTTGGCCTGAGTAGTTTGCTGTGGGTCTCTGCTTATGCTTCCATCAGCTACTGGATGAAAGCTCTATGATGGCATTTCAGACAGACATAAATCTCATTACAGGGTAAGAAAAGTTAACATAGCCTCTCCAGTTTTGCTGAGATTCTTATTTGCGGTCATCTTTGTTGATCCCAGTACATTTCCCTAATGCTAGGTTTATCATTATGCTCAGAATGGCTCCCTCTATTAAGGTATCAAATTCTTTGCAATCTTACTCTGTTCTTCCCCCAGAGTTGACCTCAATGATCCCTAATGTCCTCCCCTCTCCTTTTATCCCATTCCCTTTCTCCATCCTCCCTCCACATTCCCAATTGATTCAAGAGGACTTGATCCTTCTCCAAGGGGGCGCAATGTATGTCTCACATACTCCACAATGTTTTCTCGCTTCCATGAGGTTGTGGATTGTAGACTGTTTATCCTTTGATCGATGTGTAATATCCACTAATAACAGAGTATATGCCATGGTTTTTTTGTGTGTCTGCATTATATCGCTTAGGATAGGTATGTTACTTGTACTAAGAGCAGTACACATTTGTTAAATCTTTGTTTTTATAAGTCACTTGCTTCCTATTTATTACATGATTTTTCTCAAAGGGTCCAGGTTTGGGAATCTCTGGGACTATTCTACACTATTGCTATAATATGTTCCTTCTCTCCATATACTCACCCAAACAAGGAAAAATCAGACACCACCGTTTCTCCATTTTTGTCCAATTCACTCACTGTGTCAGATGTCAGCATGAAATTCCATTCTGCTTTCCCTTCCTAGCTACAAGCCACAGCTTATTTGAGAGGTCACACCTCTGCAATCTCACTACCAGTAGTAGTATCCATGTTGTCCTTTTAGCTGTCCACTGACATGTATGCCTCAGATGGCACAGAATCAGAGAAGAATCAATACAGCCCACAAAGACTAATGCCTGGCACAGCATTGGCAAATCACGTTCTGGGTTGGAATAATCCTTCCATACACTCTGAAGATGTATTGCACTAATTATTGTTAAAATGCTGATTGGCAAGTGACTAGGCAGGATTTTGGGGAAAATGTCAATACTGGAGAGAAATGTGGCTTCAGACAGATACATTGAGACACCAATCTAAAATGATGAGAAGTATTACATGAGGTAAAGTAGCCTCAGGTCAGCACACAGATTAATAGAAACGAGTTAATTTATGTTCTGGGAGCTACCTAATGGAAAGTGTAAGTCCCAAGACAGCCATTCACTGTTAATTTTAATTTTCTGGCAGCTATTTGGAAAGTGGCTTTTGGGACAGAAATGTCTATGTGCTATATGTCTTATGACCCATAGCAAGAAAAACATTGATTTTCAAAATTCAAAATTCATATATGGATTTTAGACATAGATCTGGGGAGTGCCAGCCTACAATCCCATAGCGAGAGAGTCTGGGAAACAGAACCTTCATTCAGTGGCTGATGGAAGCAGAGGCAGACTGATGCCTGGGAATCCAGCATGGGACTGATCAAGAACCCCTGAATGCAGGTGTTAGTGAGGAGGCCTAGGTAATCTAATGAGCCGTGGTAGTAGATCAATATTTATTCCGGGTTTACAAATGGACTTCTGACTCCCAACCAACAATGAAATATGCAGTCTCACCATGAAATCTTTGGGGAGGGTATAGGCCCTGCCCTGGATAAAAGGACAGACTATGGACACCTCCATAGAGGGCCTCACCCTCCCTGGGGAAATGAGGGAATATTGTGGGGGTTGGTGGGAGGGCACAAGAGGAGGGGATAGAAACAGAGAGGGACCTGGAATTGACATGAGAAGCAGCCTTGTTTATAATTTAAATTTAAAAATATGTATATAAACTATTAAAATAGTGACGTGTGCAGCAAAAAACAATTGGAATCCTGAAATTTGAAGGCAAATGGATGGCATTAGAAGAAACCATCCTGAGTGAGGTAACCCATACACAAAATGACAAACATGGTATTTACTCACTCATATATGGATTTTAGATATGGATTATGGGAGTCTCAGCCAAAAATACCAATGCCAGTGAGTCTGGGCAATACGGAGGTTCCCAAGAGAGATGCATGATACCCCAGAAAAGTGGAATGAGGCAAGTTCTCGTGAGCAGATTGAGAACATTGGGGGAGGGCAGAGGGAGCCAGAAAAAAAGAGAGGGGCATACGTGGAGGGGAGAAGAAGTTATGGGGGAGCAGGAAGATTGAGTTGGTATAAGAATACATGAGAATAATATTAGAAATACAATAATACATTGTGTCATTATAGGCTTGAGGAGAGAGCTGACACTAGTGAGATCTCCAGATATATACAAGGATTACACCAACTGGCAAACTAAGCAATAGTGGACAGACTACATTAAATGACCCTCATTGATGGTAAGGTGATGACTACCTTATAAGCCATCATAGAAACTTCATGCAGTTACTGATGGAAGTAGAGACATATACCCACAGCTAAACACTGAACTGAACTCCTGGAACCTAGTGACAGAGATGCAGGAGTGAGGAGCAAAGGGGTCAAGACCATGATAGTGAAACCCAGAAAGACACCAAACCAGATAAGGGGGAGCTCTTGAATCCCAGACTGGTGCCTGAGAGGCCAACAGGGGACTGTTCCAGACTCATTGAATGTAGTCTCAGTGAGGAAACCACAGAAATCATTGGGGCCTTGAGTAGTAGATCAGTGTTTACCACGGCATATGAATGATCTTTGGGAGTCCATTCCAAATAGAGGGAAACTCTCACAGCCTGGAAATATGGGGAAGGGCCTAGGTCATGCCATGAAGGAAATTAAAGACTTTAGAGATCCTCCCAAGGAGGGCCTTACCATCCCTGGTTAATGATGTGGGGATTGTGTGGGGTGCTGGGTGGCTGGTGGATGGAAAAGGGAGGAGGGGTGGGAAAGAGTGCAGGGATTGACATGCAAAGCAATCATGTTAGCATTCATGTTTCTAATTTAAATAAAAACATTATAAAAATAGCGAGGTATGAAACTCCAAAATGAAAAGCTATATAATACACTTTTAGGGCTGCCTCCCTATACATGCATGTGCAGAAAACTAGGGAGTTGAGGATAACTTCAGAAAACAAAGGCCCTGAAGAAAACTGACAGTCCATTCTCCATAAATCCATGAAATGCCAATAGGTACAAAAATATAAGTGAGGTATCATGATTTACTAAGACTTTTGTTAACTTGACCTGAGCCAAGCAAGTCTTGTACAAAGAGTTATAACTTGAGGGATTCATGAGTGCCATTATGCTATTGTGTTCAACAAATATTAATTGACTCAAATATCTACTACCAATGGCCCATTTGAGACAATAATTCTAAAAAAATTCACAAAATAATCTTACTTTTCTTGCAACCAATACAGATGTTTCTGTCAGTGTTCATCATGGACTTGAATTGCAAAGCCACAACTATTTGTGAATGTTTAATTCTGTATTCTAGGAATAAAGTCTGGTGCTCATAATTAAAATAGTGTGTTTGCCTAAACCATCTTCCCACCCAGGCATATTTGTCCTAAAAAAAAAGAACTCATTGAATATATTTCAAGGTCTATATGATTGAACAATGAATGTAATTCAAAGACCTAAAAACTGACAATTGTATAAAATTAAAATATCATAAACGTGAATATTCTATAATTCTATGTGATTCTTCTACCATATCTGAGTGCCACTTCAATATTCAATTTATTTTTCTAAAGTAATAAAAATCAGGAACGTGTCTATGTTGTCCTACTGTGAGCCACTAAGATGTAAGGGAACATGAGTAGCACATAGGAATCTCTGCTACATTGTACGGCTCATGTGAGCCAAACTTCTCTCCAATAATTCACATTTACTATATTTCCTGTAAGTTTTTTCAGAATTTCTTACAATATTAATGTGATAAAGAGAATCTTGTATATGGTTCAACTTATATTGGTGCTAATCCTTACAATCGTGCAATCTTAAGCTCACTAACTACCGGTAAAATTACATTAGAACTTAACTGAAATTCATGATTGTGTTACCTTCCCCCAGCATCATCATTTACTAAATCTTAGTCCTTACTCAATTATCAGACGCCTGGCAGTTCAAATCCACATGTGAATTTTTTGTGATCTCACTGGTCAATGGAGTAGACTTATATAATGGGCATGCGAAAATTTGTGGCAAACAGTGTAAATCTGGCCAACTATAAACAGATGCTCAGATAGCAGGTATTTCAAAAGAACCTACAGAGGGAAGCATTTAAGGCAATAAAATGTATATAAGCATTTAAAATATTTATCCATTTACCCACAGATCTGTGTAGCACCCCCCCTCAGCAAAGTAGCTTTATTTTCCAGAAGAAAGATACAACAATAATTCAATGGTCAAAATGCAACAGACCCTGTTATGCCCAATAATAATTGATAAACACAAAAAGAAAACATTTTGATAATATTGTGGAAGAGGTGGCAGAAAGATAATAAGATACAGAGGAATGCAATGCCTGCTATGAGGAAGCATTATTTATATACGACTATAAAGGTTCATTGTTTCTATCTCAAAATTTTAAAAAAATGCCAAACTGAATAGGGAAAAAACATCACAGGGTGTAACTGATAGTTAAACAGCTACCTGCAGTGATACATGCTAAAATATAATGTAGCAGATTTATCTAAGATGAGACATTTCATGGGACAGAGGGGAAAAAGAAGGAAGCCCTAAAGACTTCCTCGCATACTCTATATGAAAAATATAAAAATGCCAAAGAATTCGGGTGTTTTCTTTAACTAAACATAGTAAAATATATGCCACTATAAAAAATTAAAAATATGAATCATGGAATTTTTTCTGCAACTCTAGAAATTTTGATGTTGATTAATCCTTGATGATCATTACCACAGACATCTGAACTAATAGCAACATGAATCCATCAGGGTCCAGCTTTGGAGGTGCCAGTGGCTGCTGTGAACTATTGGTCTAAACTGTGCCCTATTACAATATCGGCGTCCATGCCTACAAAGAATGACAACTGAAATTTGCAAATGTTGTCTTTTGTTCAATATGCCTGCTGTATGAGAAGCCATTGCCGAATTGACAGCTTCACACTGTTTTTTTGTACAGTTGTTACCTACACCAATTGTATCTCTCAGAGCTGAAAGTAATCATAAGTCACATTTCTCTATAAACACAGAAGGATCCATGTTTGCTCTGCAGCTACTTACAGATACTTCTGTCACCGATGTGGCATTCCCAGGGAGAAACCAGTCATGCAGCTGTGAAACGTACCTGCCACCAAGGAAAAAGAGACTGTTGACCAGAGATTTCTCTAGTCATTGCCATTGTCCATGTGACCTCATGTTAGCGCTATACCACATCACTCTCTCTGTTGGCCATACTCTACCATGAGCTATCATACTCTCTTACAAATACAAACCATAAAGATAATTTGCACACTTTATCTTCACTCTACTTGTCTCTTTCCATGATAAAAATAACAATGAAATTATTATTTTACCCCCAAAAGATATGATATATGTGAATGTATTTAACTGAAATTAAAATGCTTTGAGAGATGATACACCCATCAATAGAATATATGTAATCGCAAAATACCTACAGATATACGCAGAAGAAACCAATTTTGAGTTTTTTTGCAAGTGGAGTCCAAGAGAGTAACAAAGGAGTACAGTATATTACCGTTGGACCTGGTTGATTCCAAGGAGTGACACATAAATCCTCACAACAGATGTAGTTTCCAGCTTAGCTCTGTATCACTAAGAAAAACAAGTGGCTAGGCACTGCCCTGGATGAAATGACAAACTCTGGAGATCCTCAATGGAGGACCTCACCCTCCCTGAATATCAGAATGCAGATTGGGTGGGGGGGTTGGAGGGCCTGATGGGGGAAGGCGGGGAAGGATAGGGAGCTGCGATTGACATGTGGAAGCAGTTTGTTTCTAAATTCAATAAAAGAGGAAGAAAAAATATAAACTAGTGGCTCTTATAGCTTGTCCAAACTAAAAGCTACCTGTTGGGATCCAAGACTTGCCAAACCAGAAAATCATCATGTCTCATAAAGTAAAAAAGTAAAGGTCATTTGAGTGATGACCCCATATAACTTAGATGAAATTGTCACTACATTAATAATCCATTATGGTTCTTAACTTCATTTGAAACTCTTTCCTTATACCCAAAGATTATTATGTACCCAGGAATACCAATGGGATTCATGAGATTCTGTTTATATATTGGACTGATAGCCTCTGAAACAATACAGAGAAACACTGCCTCATAAAAACCAAAAAAAAAGAAAATAAAGGACACAACACTGTCTGAGAAACTACACGTGTAACTTATTGAAATCTAACGATACAACCCAATGTGAGAATCTCCACGTGTAACTTATAAAAATTAATGACACAAAATTGTTTGAGAAACTACATGTGTAACATCTTGAATACAAATGATACAACACTGTGAGAGAATCTACATGTGTAACTTCTTAAAAACAAACGATACAACACTGTTTGAGTATCTATGTTTGTAACTTCTTGAAAACTAATGATACAGTGCTGTGTGAGAATCTATCTATGTAACTTCTCAAAATCTAAGGATACAAAACTGAGTTCTAAACTGAATGCATAACTTCTTGAAACTAAGGTAATAACTCTGTGTGAGAAACTACATTAGTAACTTCTGGAAAACTAACAATAAAGCACTGTCTGAAAATCTACACGAGTAACTTATTGAAAATTAACGATACAACACAGTGTGAGAATCTACATGCATCTTATTGAAAAGTAACTATACAACCCTGTGTTTGAATCTATATGGGTAACTTCTTGAAAATAAGGTCACAGCACTGTCTCAGAATCTACACGTGTAACTTCTTTCAAACTAAAAATACAAAGCTGTGTGAGAAACTACGTGTGTAACTTTTTGAAAACTATCGATAAATATCTTCCTGTACTTCTATACATATAATTTATTGAAAACAAAGGAAACAACACTTTGTGGGAAACTACGTGAGTCACATCTTGAAAACAAATGATACCACAGTGTGTGAGAATCTTTATTCGCAAATTATTGAAAACTAACAATACAGCACTGTGTGAGAATCTATATACGTAACTTCTTGAAATCTAACATGCAACACTGTGTGAGAATCCACACGTGTAACTTCTTGAAAACTAACGATCCAACACTGAGTGAGAATCTATACATGTAAGTTCTTGAAAACTAACCATAAAACACATTGTGAGAATCTCCACGTGTAACATATAAAAATTAACAACACAGCACTGTTTGAGAAACTACATGTGTAACATCTTGAAAACTAACGAAACAACACTCTGATATAATCTACATGTGTAACTTCTTAAACACAAACCACACAACACTGTGTTAGTATCTATGTGTGTAACTTCTTGAAAACTAACGATACAGCACGGTGTGAGAATCTATCTATGTAACTTTAATGATACAACACTGAGTTATAAACTGAATGCATAATTTCTTGAAAACTAATGAAATAACTGTGTTGGAAACTACATTAATAACTTCTGGAAAACAAACGACACAACACTCTGAGAATCTACACATGTAACTTATTGAAAACTAATGAAAAAACACTGTCTGAGAATCTACCCTTGTAACTTATTGAAAACTAATGATACAACACTGTGAAAATCTGTAAGTGTAAATTCTTTAAAACTAATGATACATCACTGTCTTGAAAATCTACACATGTAACTTCTTAAAAACTAATGAGAGGAGCCAGGGAGACCTGGGAAGCAGCTATTCCTGCGACGGCATCAGGTACAACAGGCCCTACTTCTGCGCCTGTGTTCCAGTGCCTGGGGAAGTAAAATAAGATTTTCGTTAATGGATAATACAATAAATTTGGATCATTCTCTTATCCAGCACATATTCATTACTTTTGTATTACGTATTTAGCAGTGCATTTCTATCTCTCTCTCCCTCTCTCTCTCTGTGTTTCTCTCTTTGTGTGTGTGTGAGAGAAAGAGAATGAAAGAGAGAGAGAGAGAGCAAGAGAGAGAGAGAGAGCGATCATAAATTGACAAGAGAAAAAGGAGGGATAAATGAGAGGCATTGGAAAGAGGGGAACTTATAAAATGATAAAATTACATTGCAATGCCATTTTTGAAATATACTGAAATGAAATAAAACAGCTCGTACACCAAAATAGAGGTATAATTTTAAATTTATACAAAAGTCATTTGTCTTAGGATTAATATATGATGCATTAATAAAAACATTACCTTCAAGGTAGGTATCTATAAATTTCATTGAAATGGAGATAAGGTTGCTCTGATTGTGTTTCCATAAATTCCTACTCTGATACATGATGCTGTAGAAAAGAAAATATTCTAAGAACCAAGACAGTAAGGGAATCAAAGCAGCAGTCCGGTTTTCACAGAATTCACTGAAGAATAATCTTATTAAAATTTGAGGTTCATTGTTACAGGCTGGGGTTTAATGTAAACTTTAGAAAATCCTGCATATAAATTATATTCATGACTTAGTCAGAAGCTGGGATGGTCTGAGATCTGGACTCCATTTAGGAATGTGGCTGCAAAAGCCCTGTGTGAAGGAAATTATATAAGTTGTGGTTGCCTCTTATGGCTGTGTACAATATGATATTGAATTGATTTGTGCCATTCAAGAGAGAGAGATCCTAAACCTAGTTGTGGAAATCCAAACTCTGCAATAACTACCTAGATTTCTATCAAAGCTGCTGTCTCATCTATCTCTCCCCCTCCCAGTCTGCTGCAGGTGAAGCAGGAAAATAGAAAGAAAATGTCTGTCTAAAATGTTATTTAATGTGGGATCCTGCTTCATTTAACAACAGAAAGAATCACCCAGTAGTATCTGGAGCATGAGCATGCACTCTGGAACTTGAATCTACAATCTGATGATTACCCAGAAGCTTCCATTCTGTTTTGGGCCATTCTGATGTCTGATGACCATTAGCACCCTGAATTTTTCAGTTTTCCCCAGTGCTATGATTACATGCATGAGCCATCTCTCTGATTAGAAATTCATGTATATCACAAGATCTGCTTGCATTACAGTAGAAATGGTGATTTCAAGCTCCAGTTTTCCAATATATCCAGTGAGAATGGAGAGTCCTAAAGTGTGATGATGGTAACTAAATAACTTAACGTGTGTTAGAAAAATAGCTGTGAAATCATATGTATATATTAGACATCTTCTATCAGTCTCTCTCTCTCTCTCTCTCTGTGTGTGTGTGTGTGTGTGTTTGAGTGTATTTGTGTGTGTGTGTGTATACCGAAGACACTGAAAAAATGGTCATGAATTTGATATTGAAATGAGGAGTACACAGGAAGATTTGGAGAGTCAGATATGGGGAATTGTGTAGTCTTGAAGAAAGTTCTCAATTTCATAAAATAAGCAGACTTAACAAGAATGATTTAGGCGGAATAATAGGATTTGGTGAAGAGTTGCAATGAAGATGACTAAAACTCCATGTATAAATGTATGAAAACATGGTATTTATGAGGAAAGATTAATTCCATAATAAGAAAATACTGAAAAATTCAAGTCATGCATGCAAATGGAATTTCATTAATTTAAATGGAAGGTAATAACTAGAATCCTAAAAGGATCAATAATTTTCCATATAATAAGTAACAAATATGGCCTGGGGAGATGACTCAGAATTTCGAAGCACTGCCTGCTCTTCCATAGATATTGAATCCAATGGCTTGCAACCACAAGGTACCTCATAACCATTTATAATGAGATCTCATACCCTCTTCTAAATTTACATACACATTGGCAGAACACCATGTATATGAAAAATGAAAATCTATAAAAATAAAGTTAATAAATCACTTTGTAATCTACATAGAAAAGAATTCAACAGATAAAATTAGATGCCACTTCACAGACCATTTATTGGACACCATGCTCAAGGAAATTGGTGCGGACTATGAACAACAGGTATTACTTTGGCTAGAGATATAAGCTAAATATAGGTAGAAAAAAACCATGTCATACCTACAAAAATATTAAGAACTGTACAAAAAGTATAGATTTAAATCTATGCTCAGAAAACATGCTAATACATAGATACAAAAAATCTTAACTGGGTCATAAATATAAGAACATATTAATAAAAAATAAAGGCAGAGTGCCTGGGGATTGCCTGGGGAGTGCCACAGACCTTCCCATCTTGGCTGGAGCCAGGCATAAGGGTAGCCATTCAATGTAAATCTCCAGAATTCTTCAACCATATCACTAAGTTCTACCTGAAGATTCAATTTATATTTGTGAAGTACTGAAAAGCAGGAAAGTGTCTCTGTTGTTCCACTTGAGCCACTGAGATGTAGTGGAAGATGAGCATCACATAGGAATCTTTACTGCATTCTATATCATGTGTGATCCAAGCTTCTCTGCAAATAATCACACTTACTATAATTTCAAAAAGATTGATTATAGAATTTCTTACAGTATTAATGCAGTTGAGAGAGTATTGTATTCCATTCAGCTTATATTTGGGCTACTCCTTACGACCATACAATCTAAAGGCATCCACTGCTGGGAAAATTACTGGAGAACATTGTAAAATTCATGATTTTCCTAACTTTCCCCAAGCATCATCTTTTCCTAAAACTTAGCCCTTTCTGGTTATCAGAGTCCTGGCATTTCAAATCCAAATATGAATCGTTTGTGGTATCTCTAGTCAATGGAGTAGATGTATATAATTGTCAAGGGGAAAATTATGCGAAACACTGTAAATCTGGCCAACTATCCATAGACACTGAGAAAACAGGTATTCAAAGAGAACCTACTGACAGAAGTTCTTAAAACAGTAAATTTTCTATATGCATTTAAAATATTTATTCTTTTACCCACAGATGAGTGTAGCACTCACCATCAAAAAGTAGCTTCATTTTCCCGTAGAAGGATACCATAACAATAATTCAAAATTTACAAAGAACTCAAGAAGCAAGTCTCCAAAACACCAAAGGATCCAATTAAAAGGTGGCGTACATAACTAAATAGAGAATTCTCAGTAGAGGAGGCTAAAATGGCCAAGAGACACTTAAGAAAGTGCTCAACATCCTTAGCCATCAAGGAAATGCAAATCAAAACAACTCTGAGATACCATCTTACTCCTGTCAGAATGGCTAAAATCAAAAACACCGAAGACAATTTATGCTGGAGAGGATGTGGAGAGAGGGGAACACTCCTCCACTGCTGGCGGGAGTGCCAACTTGTACAGCCACTTGGGAAATCAGTATGGAGATTCCTCAGGAAAATGGGAATTAATCTACCTAAAATTAGCATCAAATTATCGTCTCTGATAAAAGGAATTTTATATACATGTGTAAAGATATTCCACTAATTAAAATCCAATTTAAATAGTATTGTAGTGATATGTAAGTTTCTTAGATAATCAAGGTGGCAGAGAGAAAGAGAATTTCACAGTTATCTATCATCTTATTTTTGAACTTCATTCAGACATGACTATGTAAGTGTGAACAAACACTGCTTTTTGATACAGTTCTTACCTACAACAATTGTATCTCTCAGAGCTGAAAGTCATCATAAATCACATTTCTCTGTAAACACAGAAGGATCCATGTTTGCTCTGCAGCTACTTAAAAATACTTCTGTCACCGATGTGGCATTCCCAGGGAGAAATCAGTCATACAGCTGTCACATATACCTGCCACCAAGGAAAAAGAGACTGTTGACCAGAGATTTCTCAAGTCATTGCCATTGTCCAGGTGACCTCATCTTAGCACTATACCACACCACACTCTCTGTTGGCCATACTCTACCATGAGCTATCCTACTCTCTTACAAAGACAAACCATAAAGATAATTTGCACACTTTATCTTCACTTTACTAGTCTCTTTCCATGAAAAAAATAACAATGAAATTATTATTTTACCCCCAAAAGATATGATACTATTAAATATATGTGAATGTATTTAACTGAAATTAAAATGCTTGGAGAGATGATACACCCACCAAGAGAATATATGTAATCGCAAAATACCTACAGATATACACAGAAGAAACCAATTTTGAGTTGTTTTGCAAGTGGAGTCCAAGAGAGTATCAAGGGAGTACAGTATATTACCATTGGACCTGGTTGATTACAAGGAGTGACACGTAAATCCTCAAAACAGATGTAGTTTCCAGCTTAGCTATGTATCATTAAAGATAAACAAGTGGCTAGGCACTGCCCTTGATGAAATGACAAACTCTGGAGATCCTCAATCAAGGACCTCACCCTCCCTGAGTATCAGAATGCAGATTGGGTGGGGGGTTAGGGGCCTGATGGGGGAAGGCGGGGAAGGAGAGGGAGCTGTGATTGACATGCGGAACAAGTTTGTTTCTAAATTCAATAAAAGAGGAAACAAAATATAAATTAGTGGCTCTTATAGCTTGTCCAAACTAAAAGCTACCTGTTGGGATCCAAGACTTGCCAAACCAGAAAATCATCATGTCTCATAAAGTAAAAAAGTAAAGGTCATTTGAGTGATGACCCCATATAACTTAGATGAAATTGTCACTACATTAATAATCCATTATGGTTCTTAACTTCATATGAAACTCTTTCCTTATACCTAAAGATTATTATTTACCCAGGAATACCAATGGGATTCATGAGATTCTGTTTATATATTGGACTGATAGCCTCTGAAACAATACAGAGAAACCCTGTCTCATAAAAACCAAAAAGAAAAAAGAAAAAGAAAATAAAGGACACAACACTGTCTGAGAAACTACACATGTAACATATTGAAAACTAATGATATAGCACTGTGACAATTTGTAAGCGTAACTTCTTGAAAACTAAGGATACATCACTGTCTTGAGAATCTACACGTGTAACTTATTGAAAATTAACAATATAACACTGGGTGAGAATCAACATAACGACAAAATATGTACAGAACCTTAGTAAATAAGGAGATTCCACTAACTAAAATACAATTTAAATAATATTATAGTGATATGTAAGTTTCTTAGATAATCAAGGTGGTAGAGACAAAATGAATTTCATAGTTATCTATGATCCTATTTTTGAACTTCATTTAGACATGACTCTGTAAGTGTAAACAAACATTGCTGACAGTCCTAGGAATTCACATAGGAAACTCCAAGATTTCCAGTAATTCTGCCACTTGTCCTCAAGAGTCATCATTTCGCCCATTTCCAGAAGAGCAAATTGTACCTAATTCAAGATGTATAATCATCTTTTTTTCTAGAAAATAAGATCTTCCTGGCTCAAATACATACCTGTCTTACTCTTCATCCCACAAGAGAAAACATATTTCATGCCCAAGTCCTGGGAGAGTAGTGAAGGTTCATCTATTCTGTATCTCCTTCCAAGATCATCTTTTTGTGGCTCGGTTTCATTTTCTGACTATGCCGAAAATTTTCCCTTGAGAACACTGGTAATAATTTTAAAAAGTTTGTGTAATACTTAATTTCAAAATCCTTCTTGGGGACTATTTGACAATAAACTAGTTAAAACTGTGAAAGGGAAGAAAATTATAAATCTGGATGCCCACTGACAATAAACTGGAGAAAAGTGTACTTAACAATTAAAACAAAACCCTCCAGCATATAAAATGTGATGTAATATATATGGAAGTAGCACATGTGCAGATCTTTAAGGGACAGTAATAATCAAGAATCTTCACCCTTCTCCTCTGTTTCACATTTCCTGGAAGGGTTCATATAAACAATGGAAAATAGATACTACACATTTCTGGTTTTAGATGTCTGATGCCAAATGCAAACATGATTTTTAGAGGTTTTGTGAAAGGGAATAACTTTGTGTTGAGGAAAGCATTCAGTAATACAAAATTTATTTAGGTCTAACAATGTGAAAATTCCAAATTGTAACATGTAACAAAATACATGATATAATCTAATTATTTACATGAACAATTACAATACAAAACAAGTGGTTTTACAATACCATCAAATCAGGGAAATGGTCTCCTCCAATGTCAGCTTCTTTGGATGCAGAGAGTAAGCATGCGTAAACTGTTTGAGGTGTCACACTAAGCAGAATGGTCAGAATCTATGTCAGAGACAAAAGAAAAAAATTAAGGCACAACACAGGGACAAATGAATGTGAGTATTCTTAATGCTAAAATATATTTAAATTTATTATTATCATGCATTTATATATAAAATGTTGCAACTCGGTTTTTAAGAAGTCAATAATTTTCAAAGATATTCAGAAATTTAAAATATAACATCCATAGTGAAGATGTATTAGTATTTTCTCTATTCAAAAACTGATTTAAACATTATAAAGTGTACATGAAAGATTTCTTATCTCACCAACACCCACTGCATTGCTCTGCCCCAAATAAAAACACAGATTATATGATAATTTTGATAACTGTTACCTGATTGCTAATTCTGTCTTAATTATTAACCCATTTCAATAAAGGTATGTATTAATTAATAAGAGGCTGTGGCTTACAAGGAAACGGCCTGGCATGTTGTTATTCATTCAGCAGCATGGTGACTCTGGTGGGCTCCTGTCTACTATTCCATATTTCTCCTCATCTGCTAGTCCTGCCTATCTTCCTGCCTCATTTGACTGAACAGTATTTTTTTCATGAACCCATAAGAGAGACTTATATACATAAGATGATCCGATGTTGGTAAGGAACTTCCATGAGAAAGCTAACATTAACACAATATACACATAAAAAAAGAAAAGATTGAGAACTTGAAATGTCAGTTGTATTTCAAAACTTAGGAAAAACTACATGTCATGAAGTCATTCGGTTATGGTTAAATAAAAATTCATAAAATAAAAAACAGGTGCTACAAAATGAAAAATTAAGTGTGTGGGTGGCGTGGTGTTTGTAAACAACCAAAATTTTTGTCATCATATCCACAGAATATTGTAGAGGTAAGAACAATAGATATATTCAGTAAATTATATTTACATATTAATATATATGTATCTGGATGTGTGTGTATGTAAAAACAACAATTAATGAGGGTTTAAGGAATTTGAAAGAGAACTGAAGAATGCAGAGTAAAATTTTGAGACATAGTTATGTGGATATTATATACATGCCCATTAAAATCTCATAATTTTATAATAACGAAAATAATATGGCAAAGGGTCTTAGAAAGTACAGCTTCAACAGAAGAAAAGAATAATGAGAACTGGAATCAAAATTACCAAAACTTATATAAATGTATGAAAACATATGTATGAAGAAAGATGAATCCAAGAAGAAGAAAATAGTCAACATATCAATCATATACAAAACTGGAATTTTATCAATTTAAAAGAAAGATATATGAAGGATCCTAAAAGCTTCTGTACTTTACCAAGAGTCATAAAGGAAAAGTATTAGTGGATACCAAATCAAATAATATTTACCAGACATTGCCCTCAGGGCAAATGAGGTAGTAAATGAGCAGTATGTTATTCTATGGCAAGAAATATAAAGCATGTCTAGTTGAAAAGAATATCATATGATTTCTACAGAAATAGTAAGACAAACACAAATATGGTTAGCCAACATGTTAATACATGAAAACATAATGGAATGTTGCTTGAAACTATAATCCTAGAAAATAAAACTTACAAAAAAACAAGATTTATACTAACACAAGTTAGGTATGGTGAGCATGTCTACAATGAAGCCTTCTCAGCGGTTGGGGAGAAGCATTTCTTCTGTGCTTTAGTCTGAGATTACCATGAGCAGGCTTGTGACCCCTACATCAGGATCCTGAAATAAGAGTGGAAATTTTAGGAATTAAGGAGTGAGAAACTGTAAAAAATATAAATGTAATCAAAATGTCAATTTCATATAGTTAGTAATATCTACATAAGTTAGAGTCTCAAATTCTTACATAAGTAGATTTAATATTTTGATGAATTCATTATTCACAAGTAATATAGGGATTATGCAGAGTGGGTCAATTAATCTCCATGTGTTTTACTGTTTCATCATAAATAATTATTATAACATTTTTACAGAACCAAGAAAAATTAAATGTCATTGACATTATGCAGAAAGAAAACAGCAAGATAGAAGCATTCCACACCTACTTCTTTTTTTCAAACTTACTGCACACAAACATACACCCTCTCTTATGAATACAAAAAATTGAGATGAATGAATCATTCAAAAGAAAAAATAAATCGCTAAAAATACCATATACTAATAATCATTATTCTTCTTTAAAATGCCAAATGATATACGAGGTTGAAACATTTTTTCAATAATTGTCATAAACGGATGGAAGGAGAAGCAGACTGCCAAACTAAACATTAAGCTGAAATCTAGGAACCCAGTGACAGAGAGGGAGCATTGATGAGCAAAGGGGTTAATACTGAGCTGGTTTAACCCCCAGAAACAGATAATCTGGCAAGGGTTAGCTCTTGACTGATGGGTGGGAATCCAGCATGTGACTGATCAAGACCTCCTGAATGTGGGCCTCAGTGAGGAGTCCTAGGACTTGGGCCTTGGGTAGAAGATTAGTAATTATCCCAGGCATACAGATGGACTTTGGATGCCCATTCATCGATGAGAGATGCACTCTAAACCAGGACTCTTGAGGGAGGGTCTAGGCCCTGCACTGGATGAAATGACAGATTATGTACACCCCCATGGAGGGCCTCTCCCTCCCTGGGGAATTGAGGGGATATTGGAGGGTTATTGGTAGGGCATGGGAGGAGAGGCAGGAAAGGACGATGGACCTGGGATTGACATTTGAGGCAACCTTGTTTTTAGCTTAAATTTAAATTGAAAAATGAAAATTAATAAAAAAGAAGATGGCACATTAAATAAATATACACTGTTACCTGAATCACAAAGAAAATACTGTCCACTATTCCAACATTGGGAAGGAAGAGGCTTATCTTCCTTTTGTTTGCTATCTCATCAGATATAAAATACAAACATCCACTCTGCTTGTTTTCTGTGGCCTTGGTTTTGTTGGGCCAACGGAGCCTTTACCTTCCTGGCATCATCAAAGTCACCACCATTCAGTGCAACAGCATAAGAACATGTCAACAGCAACATGGACAGGAACTACCTTGCTTCCAATGCAAATGACTGTATTTTCACTTCAGGGGTTATGGATGAATGTCAGTTCACAAGCACACATATCGGTTTGAAGACTTCTACTTAATATCATTTTTTCTTTTTTTTTAATTACTGTAATTTTACATAGCTTGCTTCACATGTCAATCCCAGTTCCCTTTCCCTCCCCTGCTCCCGCACCACCACACCACCGCCCACAACCTCCCACCCTATCACCACTAACTTCCACATAGGGGATATCCATACTATCTAAAACCACTGGGAGGTAAAAAAGATTTTCACAAATGAATAATACAGTAAATTTGGATTATTCTCTTATCCAGCGCATATTCTTTAATTTTGTATTATGTATTTCACAGTGCATTTCTCTCTCTCTCTCTCTCTCTCTCTCTCTCTCTCTCTCTTTCTCTGTGTGTCTGTGTGTGAGAGAAAGAGAGAATGAAACAGAGAGAGAGAGAACGAGAGACAGAGATCATAAATTGACAAGTGAAAAAGCAGGGTTAAATGAGAGGAATTTGAAAGTGGGGAAACGATAAAATGATAAAATAAATTTTAAAAAAATTAAACATTTTGTTCATTTGCATCCCAATATTAAGGAAGAAAAGTAAGCAGCATGTATTAGGAAGGGAACATAAGTTTCAAATATTGGAAATTCCAAGCTTCTGTTCAACAATACGAAAATCTCCTTGAGGAAAATGTACTGTTTTAAGTGTCAAGAGGAAAAATTACCACATACTTATGGAGGCAGGCTTAAAGGAAAGCTGTGCTAATTAGAGGAAAGGCCTATCAATGATGGTATGTAGGCAATGAGAGATGCTGGTAAGAGTTGGGAAAGGGAGGTTTCATCAAGACTAGGACTTCATGGCCAGCCTGCGAAATGTTGGAACACAGGCAGACAAGCACAGTGAAGATACCAGAAAATGGAAAGATCTCCCATGCTCTTGGATTGGTAGGATCAACATAATAAAAATGGCAATCTTGCCAAAAGCAGTCTACAGATTCAATGCAATCCCTATCAAAATTCCATCACAATTCTTCAAGGACCTGGAAAGAACATTAATCAACTTTATATGGAGAAGCAAAAGGCCCAGGATAGCCAAAACAACCCTATACAATAAAGGAACTTCAGGAGGCTTCACCATACCTGACTTCAAGCTCCATTATAGAGCTATAGTCCTGAACACAGCTTGGTATTGGCACAAAAATAGGCAAGTAGACCAATGGAACCGAATTTAAAGCCCTAATTTTAACCCACACACCTATGAACACTTGATTTTTGCCAAAGAAGCTAAAACTGTACAATGGAAAAAAGGAAAGAATCTTCAACAAGTGGTGCTGGCATAACTGGGTACTGGTAGGCAGAAGACTGCAGATAGATTCATGTTTATCACCTTGTACAAAACTTAAGTCCAAATGGATCAAAGATCTCAACATAAACACAGCCACACTGAAACTTTTAGAAGAGAAAGTGGTAGATACTCTTCAACGAGTTGGTACAGGAGACCACTTCCTAAACATAACACCAGTGGCGCAAACCCTGAGATCGACGATTAACAAATGGGACCTCCTGAAACTAAAAAGCTTCTGTAAGGCAAAAGAAACAGTCAACAAGACAAAAAGGCAGTCCACAGAATGGGAAAAATATTCACTAACCCCACATCTGACAGAGGGCTAATCTCCAAAATTTACAAAGAACTCAAGAAACAAGTCTCCAAAACACCAAAGGATCCAATTAAAAGGTGGGGTACAGATCTAAATAGAGAATTCTCAACAGAGGAGGCTAAAATGGCCACGAGACACTTAAGAAAGTGCTCAACATCATTAGCCATCAGGGAAATGCAAATCAAAACAACTCTGAGATACCATCTTACTCCTGTCAGAATGGCTAAAATCAAAAACACTGAAGACAATTTATGCTGGAGAGAATGTGGAGAGAGGTGAACTCTACTCCACTGCTTGTGGGAGTGCCAACTCGTACAGCCTCTTTGGAAATCAGTGTGGAGATTCCTCAGGAAAATTGGAATTAATCTACCGCAAGACCCAGCAATTGCACTCTTGGGCATATATCCGAATGAGGCAAATTCATACAAGGGCATCTGTTCCACTATGTTCATAGCAGCATTATTTGTAATAGCCAGAACCTGGAAGCAACCTAGATGCCCCTCACCTGAAGAATGGGTGGAGAAAATGTGGTACATTTACACAATGGAATATTACTCAGCAGAAAAAAACAATGGAATCTTAAAATCACAGGTAAATGGATGGCACTGGAGGAAGCCATCCTGAGTGAGGTAACCCAGTCGCAAAAAGACAAATATGGTATGTACTCACTCATATATGGTTTCTAGAGAGTCTGGGAAACAGGAAAGAACATAAAAGATATGCACATATGCATAGTACCCAAGAGAAGAGGATTGAGACAAGATCCTCTGAATGGATGGGGAACGCAGTGAGGGGTAAGGGGGAGTGGGAGCTGGGAAGAAGAGAGGGGGAGAAGAGAAAGAGAGAGTAGTTCATGGGGAAACAGGAAGTTGAGTGGGTGGGGGTAGAATAGGGGGAAGAGGGAATCATAGGTTAGAAGATGGATCAGGCACCAGAGTGACCTCTAGTGATCTAAAGGGATAACACCAATTGACAAGCTAAGTAATAGTGGAGAGACCACCTCGAATGCCCATTCCTGATAATGAACTTGATGTCTATAACCATCCGGGAGCCTTCATCCAGTGGCTGATGGAAGCAGAGGCAAACACACAGTTAAACACTGAACTGAACCCAAGGAACCCAGTGGCAGAGAGAGAGGAGTGATGAGCAAATTGGCAAAGAATGGGCTGGCAAAACCAGCAGAGACAGCTGATCTGAACAGGGGAGAGCTCTTGGACCCCAGACTGACAGCGGGGAGGCTAACATGAGACTGCTCTGGACTCCCCCAAATGTGAGTGGGCAACCTATGGGGCCTGGAGCAGTGGATCAGTGTCTATCCCTGGAATACAAACAGTCATTGTGTGCCCATAGCACAAAGAGGGATGCTCTCTTAGCCTGGACTCTTAGGGGAATGCCTGGACCCTACCCGGAGTGAAGTGACAGACTCTAGATATCCCCTGTGTGGAAGGAATTGGCAATAGGGTGGGAGGCTTGGGGGGGAAGGGGTGTGCAGGAGGAGGGTAGGGAGAGGGAACTGGGATTGACATTTAAAACAAGCTATTTAAAATTAAAATAAAAAATGATAGTAAAAAAATAAAAATAAAATAAAATATTTTTAGAAAATATCATTTACTCATAATCACTTAACTATCCTTACTAATTTCAAAAAGATATAAGATGTAAAAAAGTTTCTCCTCCCCCTAAACCAATTAGGAGATCTCAACCCATAACCCATCTCCGGGTTACCATGCATATCTCTCTTAGAGAACTCCCTACACCCCAGACTCTCTGGCGATGGGATTGTAGGCTGACAATGCCCCACTCCATGTCTAAAATCCATATAGGAGTGAGGACATACCATGCTTGTCTTTTTGTGACTGGATTACCTCATTCAGGATGGTTTCTTCTAGTGCCATATATTTGCCTGCAAATGTCACGGGAGGGTAGAAGGAGATGGGAAAAAGAGAGGAAGAAAAGAGTAAGGGAGGGGAGAACATGGGAGAGCAGGAAGGTTGAGCCAGGGTAAGAATAGAGAACAAAGGGATGGGAGATACCAAAAAACAGGAAGCCATTATAAGCTGGAGGAGAGACCTGGCAATAGTGGAATCTTCACAGATCTACAAGAATGATACCAACTCGCATTAACGCTAACTTAAATGCCCTCCCATGATAACGAGGATGATGACTACCTTATATGACATCCTAGAACTTTCATCCAGTGGCTGATGAATGCAGAGGCAGACACACACAGCTGTGACCATAATTGAAACCCTAGAACCCAGTTGCAAAAATAAGTGATGAGTAAATGAATCAATATCAGGCTTGTGAAACCCACAGAGGTAGCTGACCTAAACAAGGGGGAACACATGGACCGCAGACTGATGACTAAGGGGCCAGCATGGGACAGCTACAGACATCCCTCCCCAAAACTGAGTGACAGAAATGAGGTCTTGGCAAACTGTGAGACCTTGGAGAATAGAGCAGTGCTTATATAAGGCATACAGATGGACTCTGGGATCCCATACCACGTGGATGGATGCTCTCTCAGACTGGACTCATGGGGGAGAACCTAGGCCCTTTCAGGGATGATGTGACAGAATCTGAAAATCCCTCGTGGAAGCCCTTGCCCTCCCTGTGGAGGAGTAGGGGTAGCAAGAGCGGGTGAGTTGTAGGGAAACAGAGTGTTTAGGGAGGATGGGAGGGAAAGGGAACTGAGAGTGTCATGTGAAAAAAGTTAAATAAAAATATGATTAAATTTTCTTTAAAAATTGTCATAAAGGAATAATACATTCAATTGGATTTCTCACTTACCCAACACATATTATTTACTTTTGTAGAATGTATTTATCAATGTGTGTTTTCCTGTAAGAAAGAGAGATTATGTATTATTGTAAGAATGAACAATGTAAAGGAGACCATAAATAGACAAGTGAACAAGGAGGGATAAATGTGAGGAATAGGAAAGAAGATGGGAATCAATAAAATGATGCAATTTCATTGCAATATTGTTTGCTAAACTATTCTTAAAAAATAATACAACTCATACACTAAAATATAGGTATAATTGTACATTTATACAAAGATCATATTCTTAAAATTAATCTATGAAGCATTAATGAAAACAATGCCTGCTAAAGTATGCAGATATAGATTTTCTTAAAATAGATAACGTTCCTCTGATGTATGGGTGATTGGTGATTCTATAAACTCCTTCCCTGACACATGACAGTGGAGAAAATAAAATTTCTTAAGAACCTAGGCAATAAGGGAATCAAATGAGCAAGACTGGTTGCAGATAATTAACTGAAGAAAAAAATGTCTAGAAATTTGAGGTACAAAGTTGCAGTCTTGGGATTAATGCAAACTTTAGAGAACACTGCAGACAAGTGTATTTTCAGGACATAGAGACTGGACCCAGCTGAGACCTGAACAACATCTGGGAGCCTGGAAGGAAAGCTCTTTGTGAAGGGACTTCTGTCTGTTGCAGGAGAAGCAGGAAAACTGAAAGAAAATGTCTGGTTAAAATGTTATTTGATGTGGGATGCTGCTACATTTAACAACAAACAAAATCACCCAGGGGTACCTGGAGGCTGAGCATGCATCATGGTGCTTGAACCTACAATCAGATGATTACTAAGAAACTTCCATTTTATTCTGGGATATTCTGATGTCTGATGACAATGTGCAACCTGCCTGTGTTAGTTTCCCCAAGTGCTTTGATTGTATGCCTGAGCCATCTTCCTGTTTAGAACTTTATGTAGATCAAAGTGTTCCTTACAAAAATCTGCCTGAATTACAGTAATAAATGATGTCTCAAGATACAGTTTACCAATATACACAGTGACAATGGAGAGTCCTAAAATGACATGATGTTATATAAATGAGTTAGGATGCGTTATAGAAAAGCAATGTTAAAATTATGTATATATTACTGATTATCTCTAAGTCTTTCTTACACTCTGTGTGTGTGTGCATGTGTGTGCTTTTGTGTGTTTGTATCGGTGTATGTATGCACAAGCAGTTTTAATGTGGGGTTGGCACACACAACTTCATGGAGACAGCCAGAGGACAAACCCTTCTATTGATTCTTTGGTATCCTACATGCTTATAAATATTTTATACAATATAAACATATAACTACATAAATATTGTGTGTTTGTATAAAAACATTCTAGATGCATTAACCTAAAATCTCTACACAACCCTACTATCAATACTGTGCTAACACTGATGATTCTCTTCTTTGTGTATAGGTATTTGTGCATGTATATGATCTCTCTCTCTCTCTCTCTCTCTGTGTGAGTGCGTGTGTTTGTGTGTTTGTGTGTGTGTGTCAATCCCAGCTCCCTCTCCTTCCCCTCCTATATCCACTCTGATCCCCAGGGAGGATGAGGCACTCCATGGTGGATCTCCAGTGACTGCCTTTTCATCCAGGGCAGGGCTTAGGCCCTCCCTAAGTAGTTCTGGCTGAGAGATCATCCCTCATTGTGGCATGGGTACTCAAAGTCTATTTGTACACCCGGGATTATTACTACCCAAGACACCATAGATTACGTAGGCCTCCTCACTGCCACCCACCTTCAGGGAGTCAGGGTCAGGTCAATGATTTCCATAGAATCTGGGGTCGAAGAGCTCCCTCTTGTTCAGGTCAACTGTTTCTGTGCATTAAACCAGCCCAGTCTTAACTCTTTGCCCATCAGTTCTTCTTTTCTGACACTGGATTCATGGAGTTCAATTCAGTGTTTGTCTGTGGGTATCTGCCTCTGCTTTCATCAGTCACTGGAAATATAAAACACATAATAAGGAGATTTAGAAAGTAAGATTTTGGCAGAAGAATAGGATTTGGTGAAGCATTTGAAATGAAGATGACTGAAACTCACTGTGAAAATGTATGAAAACATGGTATTTGTGAAGAAAGATTAATCTAAGTAGAAGAAAGTACTCAAAAAAACTCAGGTCATACACGAAAATGGAATTTCATTAATTTCAATGGAAGGTAATGCCTAGAATCCTAAAAAGGTCACTAATTTTCTACTGCAAAATTAACACATCTGGCCTGGGGAGATGGTTCAGAATATTGGAGCATGGCCTGGTCTTGCATAGATTCTGAGTCCAATGGCACACAAGCTCATGGTATCTCACAAACATCTATGAGATCTGGTACTCTCTTCTGACATGATGACATACACATTGGCAGGACACTGTGTGCATGGATACTAAAAGTCTTTAAAAAGTTTAAGTTAATAAATCAATGTATATTTGACATGAAAAGTAAGTAACAGATAAATATAGCCACTTCACAGAACATTTGTTAGAAACTTTGCTCAGGAAAGTTAGTGGAGAACATGAACAGTAGGTGCATCTGACACTAAAGATATCAACTACATATAGGTAGAAAAAACAACATGTCATGTCTACAGAAATATTAAGACCTGTACAAAATATATGCATCTAAGACTGTGGCCAGAAAACATGCTAATGCACAGAAACATAAAAAAATTTCAGGGTGGTTCATACATGAAAATATTGATAAAATATTAATGAAAAATTAAGGCACGAAGTTACTCAAATTACAATATTACCCAATAGATGTCATGTCTATGTCTTCAACATAGCTTCTCAGGAAAAGGCAGAGAAGGATGTCCTCCAAGGCTGACACCTACAGCTGAAATTACCTCCTAGAAACCAGTGGCAGATAGAGCGGGAACAATGATCAAACTGGACAAGACCAGATTGGTGAAATGCACAAAAACCACTGACCTGAATGAGGTGTAGCTCATGGAACCAAGACAGATAGCTGAGAGGCCAGCATGTGACTGAACTGAACTCCTAGAAACCAGTGGCAGAGAGGGAAGAACAGTGATCAAACTGGTGAAGACCGGGTTGGTGAAACTCACAAAACCACTGACCTGAATGAGGGGTAACTCATGGAACCCAGACAGATACCTGAGAGGCCAGGATGTGACTGATCCTGAACCCCCATATGTGGGTGTCAGTGAGGAGGTCTCGGTATTCTTTGGGGCCCCAGGTAATAGATCCCTATTTATCCCTGGCATCAAAATGGACTTTGGGAGCACATACCACATGGAGGGAAGCTCTCTCTACGCCTGATGACATTGGTGAGGACTTAGCCACTGCACCGGGATAAAATGACAGACTTTGAAGATCTCCCATGAGTGGCCTCAAAGTCCCTAGAGAATGGAGTTGGGATTGGGGTGGTGGTTGGGTAGGAAGGTGAGGACCAGAGTGACAGGGAGCTGGGATTGACATGTGAAGCAAGCTTTTCTCAAATTAAAAAAAAAAGTTTAAAATAAAATGTGTGATATGTATACATACATACAATCAGTAAAACACTTTCATATGATCAATGACATCTAAATATAGTTTAAAATACCCAATTTGTAGATCATACTTATTGATAATATTATAAATCATATATTGGGTGCAGTTGGTATTCAGGTTTCCTTATGGGTCATTCCTTTTTGTCTTAATAAACAAAATAACTATAACACTTGTAGACATCACACAGATCTTGTATAATGAAATTATTCTGAACAGGAGAACGAAACCAAATTTCTGTTTTAAAACACAGGCACACATACACATATTCATATGAATAGAAAACTATCTCGGCTAAGTTGGGGTCCAAAAATATCACTTAACTAATCATACACGTTTCCAAAATATATGCAAGGTAAAATATGTCTCATAAGTTTTAATACAAGCGGATAATACAGGAAAATTGGATTCCCATTCATATAACACATTTTGTAGTCATTTGTTTGTGTATTTAGGACTTTGTCAGTGTTTGTATGTGTGGTATGTGTGTGTCTGTGTGTGGGTGTGTACATGTGTAAAATACATGAATTTAAAATAGAGGCAATAAACTGCTTCTTCTTTAGCCGATGAGTTTTGGGGGACTACAGATGGAATTCAGATACATGCAGAATCTGTAATTTCAACCCAGCAATAGTTATTTTTCAGGGAAGCTGCAGAACTGGAATACTGCAATAATAATGGAAGATAGAAATTAAAGGTTTTAATTAAAGGTTTTATTTATGACTTTCACATTTCAAATATAATAAATGTTTACATATGGTAATGAAATAATAATACTTATGGCAAATCAAAAATCTGACTCGAAATACATATATATATATCTTTCACAAAAGTCTTTCATAACTTTATTAAGCTTTAGTGATTATACCAACTGAGTCATATAAAGAACTATTATTTTGGAATATATGCTGTAAAAGAATTAGGAAAATGAGGTTCCCACTTTCAAAAATATCTATAATTTATGCAGATATACTTGAACTGCATTATATGTCAAAACACATGTAGTATGCTCTCTCTTAGAAGGTACACAACCTCACCAGAGTCATCGGTTTGTTAGCCTCATTATATGGTAAAGATGAACAGGGAATCAAGACTTGGTAGATTTCTGCTGCCCTTATCTCCATAACCTGACCTTATGTGAAAACTACTGGGTTATTCTATGTAGGCCAGAAGATGCAGTCCTCCCCTTATCTGTAGAAAAGGAATAACTCCTAGAGACTCATATTAAAAGGGTTATTGATTCTCTTCACCAGTGGAGGATCTTAAGTTTGAAACCCTCATCATGAATGTCGAAACTACATGGAGGACAATAGCAATTTTACTCAGCACGTGGTACTGCCCAAACTGACATGTACAAAAAAGATGAACATTAGAAACGTGTATCTGAGTGTACAACACAATGAGTACTGGATATGCATGATAATTCACCTGACCATGGCCTTTCTCTGTTTCCAATTCTACCACTTTGTAAAAGCTAATCCCATTCTCCATAGCACATTCACTCAAGTTCCATGATGAAGGGAGACTTACAGATACTTGGAC